TTCTTTCTTTCTTTCTTTCTTTCTTTCTTTCTTTCTTTCTTTCTTTCCCTCTCAGAAATAAGTTTTTTATGAAAGGTTTTCATACTCCATACATCAGTGACAATACGAGATTATTAATTAACACGTTTTTAATCTATATTTGTTAGTACCTTCTTTGGAAAACTTCCTCATGGTAAATAATCACATTATCTCTCTAAAGAGATTTCTACTTTCTAGTTGGAGTGTAACATTCTTTATCATTTATCGTCTGGACTGAATTTTCCGTCTTAGTTTTATTTAGGGTGGAAAGGTGATGCATGTCTATCAACATCTAACTACAGAAGCCCCTTTGGATTCCTGAGTGTCCTGCGCAAGTTTTTAGTGGTGGCCCTTGAAATTAAGCTAGTCATCTCTGTAATATTGAGACCAGGCAACACCTCTAATAGAAGCTTTCTCTTTAGCTCTTGCTTTCCTCCTCCCACACTGTATCTCTGTTGGCCATTGGAAAGCCTGATGTAGTTAGGTACCTACACTTTTTATACGTATTCATATATATCTACTTTTTTCCTAATGCTGTATCTATTCATGTATAGATTTGTTGATCATTTTTATATATATTCATATATATGTGATCATACATATATGAATATTTTCTCCCAAAGGCCACCACCATTCCATTGATCACATAATACTCCACCTGCACTATTTCTCTAATGAATTCTCTTTTCTATGAAAATAGACTGTGCCCTCAGCCTAAAATATCGCATTTCTCTTGCGTCTTCTTACTACCTTTCCTTCCTTGTCGACCCTGTCATTCTGATTTATAGGTACTTGTACACATGCTTGTCTCAACCACTCGATTTTAATTCTTGGAAAACAGAGACCATGTATCTCTTATACACATTGCTATCCTCATTGGATATCCTACTGTGCTATCCTGCTATCCTACTGTGCTGCACATAGTAGGGATTTTTTAATGTTTAGTCGGTATGTGAATGAAAACTGGAGAAATCTCACAGCCCCAAAGATAAGCTGTCCAAACTCCATTTAGCCCCTCTTTCTGCCTCCCTCTTCCTAACCCCATTACAGAAGACAATTACTTACCCTTTTCTTTACAGTCCTTGTAGACAAAGAGTCTATAGACATAATTGCTCAGAAATACTGACCAAGGTGCTGTGTGTTACCCAACCCCTGGGGGTCCTAGTCACCAAAATACATTGTTGGGCTCCAGGGGGCCCCATGGAGTTCTGCAAAGAAACAGGCCTGATGCCATGTTTTTTACAGGTAGATTAGTGGTCCTTTGATGTCTTTCAGAAATACTTAATACTATTATTGTACTAACAAAAAGTTCAGATAGGTTACGGTATCGTTAACGCAAGGGCAATAGAGTAAGAGCCAAGCTAAGAAGAGAGTAAGATAGTTGTGTCAAAAGTCCTCATGAAGGACAAATACTAAAAGCTAATACTAACCTAACCTTGAGTTCTTCAATAGCCAAAGTAAAAAAGAAAAGTACGGTGAATTTTATAACTTGCAGTGTGTAAAAATAAGCAAAAATGATTCATTGGAAGCTACTAACAGAAACTACCCTAAATTCAAAGGAGGATTTTATCATGTAGGTGTTTTTTTTAATCAACAAAGTGAAAATATATTTTTATTAAAATTGCTGTTCATAGCAGTTTGTCAAATATGCAGAACCAAACTCCGTTAAGTATTTTCAATGCATCAACCCTTAATAAAAGCTTATTTTTTAAATTTGTACTTCCATGAGGGGCGCCTGGGTGGCTCAGTCGGTTAAGCGTCCAACATGGGCTCAGGTCATGATCTCGCAGTCCGTGAGTTCCAGGCCCACGTCAGGCTCTGTGCTGACAGCTCAGAACCTTGAACCTGCATCAGATTTGGTGTCTCCCTCTTTCTCTGCCCCTTCTCTGCTCGTGCTCTATCTCTGTCTCTCAAAAATAAATAAACAAAAAAAAAATTTTTTTTAAATGTTCTTTAAACAAAAAAAAAAAAATTTTTTTTAAATGTGCTTTAAAAAAAAAAAAAATTGTAGGGGCGCCTGTGTGGCTCAGTCGGTTGAGCATCCGACTTCAGCTCAGGTCACGATCTCGCGGTCCGTGAGTTCGAGCCCCGTGTCGGGCTCTGGGCTGATGGCCCAGAGCCTGGAGCCTGCTTCCGATTCTGTGTCTCCCTCTCTCTCTGTTCCTCCCCCGTTCATGCTCTGTCTCTCTCTGTCTCAAAAATAAATAAACGTTAAAAAAAAAATTTTTTTTAATAAAAATAAATAAAAAATTGTAGTTCCATGAAAGGGTTTTTCATAGAGAACCAAAGCAATAAACTTCAAAATGCATAAATTTCTGGTGATCTGTGTTGATACAGGGATAGAGATTAATAATCTCTATTATTAATTAATACTTATAAATATTTTGTCCTTTTAGTTTTTCTCTTATCGGAGCTATATTCGTGATATATTTCTTAAGACATGTACCCTTGACATTAAAGGGCCATTTGATCTACTTAATCCTTCAAATTCCTCTAAAGCCAGGACCCAAAATTATTTTCTTTAAGCCAGGAAAGCAAAGGAAAATAACAGATTTTACACTTAGGAGCCAGTTTTTACTCTTTTTATTTTTTTATTTTTTATTCATTTATTTATTTATTTATTTTCTTGTCAAGCTAATGCTTTGCTGCACTATGGTTTTGGTCTCCTCCAGAGTAAGAACAGTCTGGAAGGGGCTTGCTGCTCTTGTTCACCTCAGCTTCAAAACATCTGCCCAACTCTCCTTTAGATGTATCTCAAAGGGAAAGAGAAGGATTGTCATCCATTCTATAATTCTTCCTGCCCGGTCCCTCCAGAGCGTGATTATAAAACCAACGTATACCATATATAGTTCTTGAGCTCTCTGTCCTGTGGAAATCTCCAGATGTGGAATTTTTTCATTACTCTGCTTTTGTTCTTTGCTGAATGAGATCTGGACTCTGCATACACCATTTTTAATGTTGCATTTATCAGCACAAATGTGATTAAAGAACACCTTCAGAAGGTAATAGGCTTGTCACTTTACTTATCTTGTAAGTTCGGTCTGATGTAGACAGACTGAGCAGATGTCCTAGATGTTCCGTTTTATGGATTCACAAAGCAATAGCCCAATAGCTATGACAATAATGTTTGAAATACAGAGTTACTGGGGGAAAGGTGACTGTCAGAAATCTGCTGCATACATTTAAGAAGTGCATAAAAGCAGAGTCATTACTGTCTGTTACATTGTGTTCAGTAAATCTAAATCAATGATGCAAATTTCTGAGGTTATATACCCGGGACAAGGCAGGCATCTAAACAGAACATCGAGTACTTTTTCCTAAAGCATGCCTTTTTCTCCATACACTGGAGGATAGCAATAGCCCTGAATTTCCCAGTGTTCTAGAGGGAAATAAAGCACTGATCTGTGGTCAATTAAGGCAGAACACCCAGTCAGTAATGAAGGAGAACACACCTGCTGTGGTTTGAATTTTCCAGATATTTTTAGATGGACTTAATTCTTTGCTTTGGCAGCATGTATATTAAGTAGATAAAACCTGTTTATGTAATTTTATATAAAATAAATATAGACATAACACTTTATCAACACTTCTCCTCAGCCACACTCTTGCCCCACATTAGAGGCCTTTGGATAATAAAAACGCTATTGATTTGAAAGCCTTTGGTGCCCTGAAGAGAGAAAGAATTCTAGAAATTCAAGGTAGAAATATAATAATTAATACCTTGGTGGTTAGATGTCTCACGGCTTGGGAAACATTCTTGCATTATTTCTTTTGATTCCCACAACAATTCCAGTGAAATAAAGGGTGAACTATTTATTTTTCCTTTTTGGCAGGTGTGGAAATAGGGTCCCTAAGGAGATACGGGACCTGGCCAAGGCCACAGAGCTAGTGAGGGAGAGCTCAGTACTAAAATCACCTGTTCTCCTGCTCAGAGACAGTATGGCACTAGAAGCATCCTTCTACTGACACCTTCCTGTGGTTGACACTTGACAAGTTGTATAACCCTACCCACCCTATTTCCTCACCAGGGACCTTTTCCTGAAAACCTTCACATCATTTTAAGGGATACTGTAAAGCTGACGGAGCCCAAGATTTGTTATGAGAACCTTTTTTATATTTCCAATTCTATCTACATTGACTTAATTAATCAGCAATTACGTATTGACCACCTACCATGTGCCAGGCAACCATGTGAATAAGAGGTTCCTATTTATTCAGTGCCATTGCTGTTTTCTTTCTAACCAAATGCTATCTCCTAGTTCAATTCAGATATTAGCCTGAAAATATTGATCTCATCGAGACTTGAACCTGTGCTCCTGAGCAAGAGTGACTACTGGCCCTCTCAAGAAAAACAAAATGTTAGGGGTACAATTTTTCCAGGATTTCTTTAGGAAAAGCATCATTGGAACTTGCTGCCAAAAACTCAACCACTATGTGTTTACGAGTATGTGTTTACGAGTAACAGCAAATACACGCACGTGTCAGTATTTCTGATGGTTGTTCTTGTATTTGAAGGTTTAGTAACGTCATCAGAGCCCACACCCGCCTAGAGTCAAGATACAGCAATAGCTCTGGAGGATCATATGATGAAGATAAAAGTAAGTACCAGCAGGATGTGAGGTTTCAGACGGAATGCATTTGGAGAGTAGAAAATGAGTGTTTTGATTATTCTTGTTCTAATGACTAAAAAGGGACCCATAAAAATTAAGTAACCATGTGATCCGACTGTGCAGGTAAGCATAGAGTCAGCATCTTAAAGTAAAAACAAACTCCACAGTGGGCAACTCAAAATCAGAAAACCTCAAACTACAGCCCAAATCTGTACTTTTATATTCCTGGCGTTTTGTCCTTGGTGATGCGTCTGGGGAAAGGCTAGTAAGAAATTGTCCATTTGAGAACAAATGTCACAGCTCAGTTTTTCAACCTATCTTAGAGCATTTGACCTTTAAGCTCTGTGCGTCAGCTCACCCAGGGGAGGATCAGTTTTCACCGTGAGTCTCTCAATGGCATAGTCTCAGTAGCCAAGTGAAAATTACTAACCTGGGAGATATAATTGTCACAGGAATCTCTTCGTACCCTGAGAAGGTGGGAAAACCAAAAAGGTCAATGCATTCATTTATTTTGTTTAAGCCCTGAACAGCTTCTGTGGGTACGGAGCAGGTAAAGGGTATCATTTGGTCACAATTTACAGAAATTCTGGAACCAAAGAACACTTCCTGTGACATTTCAGTATGGTGAGGGAATCAGTAAACTGTCTGATGGGATTTATTTGTCTGTTTTGGTGGAAATTGTAAATGTGATGGTATTTCATGAATTACGTTCATTTTTTAAGTCACTTCATAGGACCTTTGTAGCTGTTGTTTTGATTTGTTTTGTTTCTATGGAAAATGTGCCAACTGGGTAAGAGCTAAGTAATTCCAATGACAGAATATTTCAACTGTCCTTACTCTGCTTCTTAATGCACAGACAGGCAATTCTCCAGCATTGAAAATACCAATGGAAGGGATGTCTAAAATCCATATATAGTTACCATCCTCTAACTTAGGTTAAGTTTCAGCTATGTCCCTATAAAACTGCTTATTGCGGTAAGATAAAGCTGTTTGTATTTTCACCTCTTCCTGTGTCCCATCAGGGGACTGTACCATCCAAACACTGGATATTTGCATCTCCCAAGCACCGACCATCAGTTTTAGATGGGCCTAGATTTTACAGAGGAGGAGAGTAGTAGTTGAGAAATGGAGAGTTGTTGGTACAAGAAAAGTCTGGTTGCTGTGCGATATTTCAAATTTGAGGACAAAAAAATTGCATCATAAAAAGGTGAAGCAGTCAAACCCTGACCCCCCCCCCCCCTCAGAATGTGCCAAGCCTAACAAAACATAACACTCCATGACTGTGGATTTATGTTGCTCAATTTTTGGTGCATTAGTAAGACCCAACAGTCGCTTTCTGAGGCGAATCCTGACCTTGCCCCCAGAAACTCTCTTCCCTGACATCCCAGAAGTGGGCGGTGTCCAAGCACCTGCCCTTGTGGGGAGCCTCAGTCTTCAGAGTAGGAAGACACCCCCTCCACCCACTCTGCTAACCGGTTAGTCAGGAACATTGCTCTTTAGCAGTTGATTCCTTTAAAGTGTGCCTCTTTGCTCTGGCTCCTGGACATAGAATTTGATAGAATCACTATAATAAAGAAAGAATTATTTTGAAAATATGTAAATAGTGAATTTCAGAGGATAATTATAATAATAATTATGTCATTATATAAACTCAGACCACTGGCTTTAGGGACAAAAAGAAAAAGTAATGGAAGTATTTGTGAAGGGAAAAACAAAACCATTGTGAATAGTTGTAAAGGGTTAAAAAGAAGTCTAATGTTATCGTTATGGCATCTACTTCACCTAGAAATGTTTTTTTATAGATTTGTTTTGCCTACATAAACAGCATTTTAATGGGAAAATTTGGGCACAGCATTTGAATTCATTTGAGTCGTGTGTCAATAATATGCTTTACATGATTACGGTTATTGACCAAAGAAGTTCCAATTCATGGCATGTTGTTACGGAACTGAGAGCTTATATTTTAAATTACTCATTATAAGAGAAAATGAAATGAAGTTACTCAAACATATCCTCCCTTATCACAGAAATTCCAGAACATATTAAGGTCCTTTTCCAAGTGTTTAAGTAATAGACCTTGACTCTGGCTGTCTGGAGGGTAGCACCACATCTAATAGGGGACAAATACCCTTAGAACTTTGGTAACTGGGTTCTCTCTGATGTATTTTTGGTTCTAGCTACACAATGAGGGATATAGCCTATGCTACAAGAAAAACAAAGATTGGTAGGCTCAATTCAAAAACCTTATGGCCAGCCATCTGGTATATGTTAAGGGTGATTATTTTCTCCCTGAATTCCTGGAAGGATTAGTAGAGATAGGAAGGGTAAGGAGAAATCAGGTGAGACCTAGTGGCCTGAGGCTTCATAATATGGGTTTACCCAGATGGAAAGACCATGTGCAGCCTCTTAAAAGTATTTTCTATTAAAAACAAAAACAAAAACAGGCAAACTATACTACCTTGAGTAAAATGGACCAGAAAACTGATTTAGACCTAGATCTATAAAGATCTTCCTATTAATATTATGTAAGCTGTTTTAGAGCTACTTAAAATACCTGGATTATTTTCCAAGGCCATATGTTAGTGCATGTGTCTCCATAATAAGGCTACATCTAGTTAGGCTGGGTAGCAGCTGAGTCCTAGTGGTTTAGACCTGACTGTAGAAAACCAGTTTCAGGCCAACTTACTCCTAATCCAACCACCAAAAATCCAACACATTTTTGCTGATGGGCTGTGTACCTGAGAACATCATTGAAACAAAGAAAATTATATACTTTCCTAACAGAAATATCACAAGTTTCTTTTTTCCTAATTCTTTGGTAGTCTCCCCATTTTTGTTCTCCTTTTAAGTTTCATTATAGAGTAGCTGATTACTTAGGAGTACATTTTGCAACCAGTTTATCCTGGATGGTTATTCAAGATGTTGATTTGCTGAAAGTGAAACATCCTGTAGGTAGTTTACCCGGAGGTCTGAGATGAGATGAGGAACTGTCACACCCGCTTCACATTTTTTTCTGGACTAAAACTGTTGTGGCCTAGCTCCGTGGCATAGAATTTATAGGGTTCGATTGCTCGATTTTTGGTGCGTTAGTAAGACCCAACGGTCGCTTTCTGAGGCGAATCCTGGCCTTGCCCTGGAAACTCCCTTCCCTGCCATCGCAGAAGGGGGCTGTGTCCGAGGACCTGCCCTTGTGGGGAGCCTCAGTCTTCACGGTAGGAAGACACCCCGTCCATCCGCTCTGCTAACTGGTAAGCCCAGCCTTCTACAGGGGACCAGCAGCCTCGAATCTGTGACCTCTCACTGCCTTTCAAGAGTGCAGCCAAGAAAAACTTTATTTGGGAGAAATTGCCTAAAGCTGATCTAATGCATCGTTCTTCTTGGATACACCACAACTCTCCAGATTGAGCCAGCTTGTCTGAAGCCATGTACCTGGCTCATATCACGTGACCCCAAGAGGAAATGTCGTCTTTGAATGCCACCCGCCTCTATGGAGAGCATTATAAAAAAAGAGCGCCATCATGAGTCTAGCTAGAGGCTTATCAATTTTGTTGACCTCCTAGAAGAACCGGCTCTTGGTTTCGTTGATATGTTCTAGTATTGGTTTGTTTCGATTTTTAGTTGCTGTATCATTTATTTCTGCTCTCATTTTTATTATTTCCTTCATTCTGCTGGATTTGTGTTTTGTTCGTTCTTTTTCTAGCTCCTTTAGGTATGAGGGTAGGTTGTTTTGAAACTTGTTGCTGTGCTTACTTTAAAGATATTGTTGAGGAAGTTCATTCATTCAAAAAATACTTGTTGATTCCCTGCCACATGTCAGATACTGTTCGCAGAACTAGGGAAACAGCAGCGAACAAAAGAAAGTGTCCGCCGTCGTGCAGCTTCTTTGAGAGTCGGAGGAGGCAGTCAGTGCTGGGGAATGGGTGATCTGTGCCAGAAAGGAAAATTAAAGCAGGGTGAGAGGCGGAGGGGATTTCAAATGATTGGGGATTTCCTGGAAATCCTCTGCAATAAATTGATGCTTGGGCGAAGGCTTGTGTGAAGTGGAGGAAAGAACCACGTGGCTCTCCAGGACAGCTCTGCGGCCAAAAGGAAAGCTAGAGGTGAAGTCCCTGAAACTGGGTAGTGCCGAGCGTGATCACAGAACAGCAAGAAGGCCCAAATGACTGGCGTGGCGTGGCGTGGCGTGGCCTGGGCAAGGGTGCTGGTGGTGGGAGATGAGCCAAGGGAGAAACAGCAGGAAGACCGTGTAAGGCCTTAAAGGCCATGGTGTAGAGTTTGGACTTCATTCTGAGTGGAGAGGGGAGCCACTGGAGAGTGTGAAGCAGAGAGAAAGACATGAATGAACTCCTGTTTTAAAATGACTGCTCTGGCTTCTCTGTGGAAAAACAGACTGTAGCGGGGCCAGGACAGAAGCAGAGAAACAGTAGGGAAGCCATTGCAGTAACCATGTGAGAGAACATAGTGCCTTACCCTGGCAGTGATGGAGATGGTGAAAAGTGGACCTATTCTGGATATGTTTTGAAGGTACAGCTCACTGAATATGATGCCAAGTTACCTAACCTCTATTTCCCTTCTGTCAAGTAGGGGTAAGAGGTACCCATTACTGGGCTATTAATTATTAATATAATGTACAACGCATAGAAAAGTGCCTGGTACAAAGTAGGTATTCCCTGTGTTAGCTCCTAATGTACTTATTTTTATTATTACTATTATCCTCATCATGATTATCATGATTATGAGTTGGATGCGAGATGTAAGAGAAACGTCACAGATAGCTCTAAGGCTCCTGTCCTGAGCAAACTAGAAACATGGAATTGCATTTTACTGCAGTGGGGAAGACTGGAGAAAGCCCAAGTTCTCACAGTGATGAGAATGATTTAATGTTTTCTTTTTGCATGTCTGTATTTCCCATTGATCTATACTGTGTAATTGTATATTAGCTTATCAAAACATAAAGGGACTAAAAATCTAATCAAGTAATGCTAACCCATTGATCCTATGATTCATACTCACCAAATGGGATGGTTAGAGAGTTACTTTTACTAGCCTAAATTTGTAAGATTCTTTCTACAGACACCAAATAGGGAAGACAAAAATCATCACTCCCTAAAAATAATGCACGCTTGTCTTTCTCACCCTATAGATGACCCGATTTCTCCGTATACGGGCTGGCTGTTGACTATTACAGAGACCAAACAGCCACAGCCCTTACCCATGCCTTGTACTGGAGGATGCTGGGCCCCCCTGGTTGACTACCTCCCAGAGACTATCACTCCCCGAGGACCCCTCCACAGGTAAGTAGCATCTGTGGGTAGTGGGAAGTGACTGCTTAGATCTGACTGGACTTTTCTTCCCATGAGAAGAGGGAGATCATTCCAGGTCCTGTCAAATGAAATGACCTTTGAAATCAGAGGGACCATGCGTGACTTTCATTGCAGTTCTCAGCACATTTGGAGCGTTTGGTTGACTAGCAACCAATGTGCAAAGCTGCCTTGTAACTCAGAAGTTTTTCTTGATGTAATCTGGATGTGGATGTGCATTCTGTGATGATTTTTAGATCGTGAGTAACTGGAAAAGAGGGCCCTTTTCTCCTCTTCCTCCCTCAGCTCTTATTACCTAGCAACGAGTAAGACTCCCTATTTTGTGATTAGCTCAGCGAAAGTTTCTTCTTTCTGTGGAATTCTGTGCTTTTTCGGAAAATAAATGCCATTCCCTGGAATAAGCGTCTCGCATAATTCTTCAGCAGGGCTCCAGAGCTGTATTTAATTGTGACTTAATGATCTGTCAGTGTGTTTCCATCCTCTTCAGAAGTTACATTAATTTCACCATGTCATTGATTAGGTGCAATATTGCTGTAATTTTTATGACTGAGATGGTGGTGGATCACAGTGTGAGAGAAGATTGGGCTCTTCATCTACCATTATTACTCCATGCTGTCTTCTTAGGTAAGACTGGATCGAAGAGGAATTCTGGACTAGGGGGTCAAAACCCTACAGACACAATCCAGAGAGCTTTCCTTTTACATTGACGTCCTGCTTTCCACAGTTCTGAAATATTTAGTCTCTTCCATTTGTCATCGCTTCTATGTGACATCTGCTCTACAATCTCAGTTGATCGGTCATTGCTTAAAATTGCCCTATTTCTGCACTATACAGTGGTACCTCGCTAATGCTATATCTATAAAGATACCCGAAACATATTGGGCCTCTCTGAGGGTCTTTGGCTAGATGTGATCGATTTAAAGCCGTGAGATACTGTCCGCACGCAGACAGAAAGAAGACAGAGCGCAGCAGGCCAAGCACTGAGATTTTAAAATAGCCAAATGGTAAAATAAAAATGGGAAGAGGAACAAGCCAGGGAGGCTCAGAAGTTTAGTTAGAGAGCGAGGAACAAAATTAGAATCCCTTCAGTTAACGGAGACCCAGGGAAGAGAACATCCCAGGAAGGAGGAATGCTAACCATGTCAAAAGCTACTGAGAGGTCAAGAAAAGTCCATCTATCAGCATTTTATGAGAACATTTGATTTAAGGAATAAAACATTTTTCCTAAGCCCAACTTCTTTATGTTGGTAACACAAACAATAACAAAGAAAACTGAACATTCTTTCAACATGTTCCTCCTGAGTAACTTGGAATCTTTACTATCCCTGGAATCTAAACGAGCTTAAAACTTGTTTATACTAAGAGATTCCACTTTTTGTTCCAGGTTTGGACCATTACCGGCCTGAAGTCTTTGAACACAGCAAAAAACTGCTTCTTCACCTCTTGATTGCCCTTTCTTGCAACAGCAATTTTCATGCTATTGCTTCTGTGCTCCTGCAGACTCGAGAGATGGGTGAAGCTAAGACTCTAACAGTTCAGCCGGCTTATCAACCGGAGTATCTCTACACAGGTAACAAAAGAGGGAATAGCAGAGACCCTGAGACAGAATCACAAATAACGAAGATCACTGAAGGTATCTGTGGAGCCCAAATTAACTTCTCTAACGTGATCACCACCCCCCTACAACTTTCCGAGTGAGCAAGTAGGAGCACAATAAATATGCACCATTTCACTTGATGTTAACTTGGTTTTCAAAATCCTTCAGTACTGAATATTTTCAAATGTCTGTTTCCTTATTATTATGATTGCTGCTCTCATTAAATATGTTCCTACTGATACATTGAAAATTATGTCCTTCGGCCAAGAGCATCAGTCTAAAACACTGAAGGATGGGAATGCCCAAGACAGTGACCACCCCCATCACCTTGAGAGCAGGTCATTGCCAAGGTGCCAGGTGTATCGCTGTGGACCTTCTAGTTCCCCTGAAGGAATTTTCACCCTTTTAGTGACTGCTTTTCCTGGAAAGCACCATGGGTGGAAGTCTACTAAGAACCATGGCTGTTTTGAAACCAAAATGTTCTTTTTAGAAAAAAGAACAGAAAGCATTAGATGAGTCATGTTTGAGTCTGTGTCCAGCTATTCATGAAAACTTTCCCGAAAGAGTTGACCAGTGGGTTTCATTTAGAATCAGAACATTTAAAATACCTTAAAATGATAGCGAACTAACATTCCTGAACATTTTGTACGTTGCATTGGCGCTGGATATGGTATGGCATTTCATATGTCACCGTATACTTTATTCATCACCCTGAAGATGATGTGCCTTTTACTTAATACTTGTACTCAGTGCTGTCTTGTCCTTTGACGGACACTAAGATTTTCCTCTGGGAAACAAATACTGCGTTACTAAGTCTGAGACATAAGGACTACTGACCTCAGTTTAAGCCCTTTATTTTAAACCAACCTGCACTTAATTGAAAAGAACCCATCGACAGCCACTCAGTGACACAAAACTCCTCACTATAGACGTTGAATTAAAAGAATCTGAAGACTTCTGGCTGTCCTAATTCCCCAGGATAAGGATGTATTCCATTAAGCACATGGTCTTAGACTGAGAACATTGCAGTGCCCGTTAAGTTGTATATCTCTGAGTACATCAGTTTTGCATTCACTATACCACTCTTGTGGCATACAGTGGGGCTTTACAAAACAAAACACAACGTACCCTAGGCAAGACAAACGGTGGAAGCTAAAATGATTGAATCTGTAGCACACGTGGCATACGAGTACAAAGGGTTTGGAAAATGTCTCCTTTTCATAAACATTGATTAATTCTTACTGAACACCTACTTTCAACTGCGGTTGCTCTCAAATCCAAGCTAAAAAAAAAAATCGAAGCTAAAAAAACCTGTGTGCTAGAAATTATTGTCTTTATCTTATTATAATAGGAAAGTTAGCTGCAGAGAAATTATATAAACTCCCTGAGATTGCACAGCAAATGGCAGAGATGATATTCAGGCCCAAGGCTTCTCCTGTTTCAGTGTATCTTCAGACCACCAGAACTATGTACTTTTTGCAATTATCAGGTAGGAGAAAAGGGATGATGGCGTATCTACATTTTCAAACCAGCAACACCCAGGGATGTAGAATGATAATCAAATATGAGGTGGGGAACAAACATAATATTTGTTGATACCGTATTTCTTTGACTACTACGAGACATACTTTATCAAAACATAGCAATATCCACATAATATTCACAGTTGTAAGCACATTTACTCAAAACATAACATCTATTATTAGGTGCTCGTATCCTCAACACTGGTACCATTTCACATATTCAAGTGGTCGAATACCCAAGAATAATTTACTAACAGCACAGTTGGGTCCAGATGTATAGGGGAACTGTCTGTCGGCCTGTGCACATATGCATGTGTGTGCACACAGACGCATGTGCACACGCGCACACACGTATACACCACTTCTTTTGCAGAAAGCATCAATTCAAACACCAGGCTACAAAATAACAGATCCCTCTCCTATTACCCAGTACACTCTGGTTTACACAGCAGTGCAACTATTCTACAAGCAAGGAAAAACTATCAGTCTCGTTTCATCATAACTATAGTTGAAATCAAATGTTTTCTCCAAGAGATTCAAATAACTACACCCTCCTGTATGCTCACCTCCTAACCTCGGTAAGCACCCTGCCTAGCACATTCTACCTTGACCTTCTTGTCCCACCAGGTGGCTTTGACTTCCTGAGAGAGGACCAGTCGTCCCCAGTGCCAGACTCGGGGCTAAGCTCCAGTTCCACGTCCTCCAGCATCAGCCTGGGGGGCAGCAGTGGGAACCTCCCGCAGATGACCCAGGAGGTGGAAGACGTGGACACAACCGCTGAAGCGGATGAGAAGGCGAACAAGCTCATTGAGTTTCTGACGACCAGGTAGTGAGGGCTCAGGGGACACAGGCCTGTTTTTAGGTTGGTCTTTTGGGGAAGTGGCATCACTTTAGAACTTGACAGATGAAAAGGCGAGCCCGTGATTTTAGCAAAGCCTTCTTTTCTCTTCTAAATTGCATCTGCTGGAGTGTGTGTACAAGGCAGATACTGGCAGAAGTCTGAGATCCCACTGATGGCACAGTTGACAGGCAGGAGGTTTCGTGTAGAAAGACAATGCAGCAGATGGAGACAGGACACGGTAGCGTCCCACGGTGAGGACGACTTTAATCATCTATTAGAGCTGCCGGGATCTGGGAGTTCTGAGACTTGGCAAAGAACGTCCTCTGGAAACCAAATATATTAGCCATGGTCGACCCAGGAGCAGCTGCGGAGGGGACCATTATCTGCTCTTCTCATCCAGAGCCATTTATAAATGGAAGTCAGAAACAATAGGAAGCATGATGGGAAAGGAAGCAAACTAATAATCAAAATCAAGAAAAGCCGCAAGCAAGCAATCCTGTCTTTTCAGCTCTTCTTCTGGTTCTTCCACTGAACAATTTAGCTTGTAAGGCTTCAGAATGTCTAGCACTCTGAGGTGCAGTATTTGCATCAAGAAAATCATGCTTACCTGGGACTCTATCGGGGGGAGGGGACCCTATCCTTTCTCATTAATCCCAGAAGTCTAGTCTGTATAGTTGTTATCTGATACCCCCATGATCTTTCTTTCTCTCGGGAGTGCATCAGTTCATACAAAAAATGAAAAAAGAGCATTTTCTTTCCTCAGTTAATGATTCAGAGTATTTGCAGTTCATAGCTCAATACAGGACTTAATGAACAGGAAGCTAAGGAGGGGGTGCCTAATGGTAACTACATCCAGGATATTTCAGAGACCTGAATGGTCTGTGGGGAAGAAAAGTGTGCTCACCACTCAACACTGTCAGTACCTTGCATTGGGAAGAGTGTTCTTCTGAAATTCTCACCTCTGGCTCCATCCTGTTCTTTCTGTTGAAAACCAAGTAGATAACAGAGGACGCATCTTCGGTTCATTTCTACAGTATTTGGTAGTCTAATGATATGATCCTGATAAAAGCATTATCTTTGCAAATCTAAAATATACAAATGTCGAAGTCTGTATTTTAATTAACATTTTATATCATTTTATTTGACAAACATGTAGCACCTGTTTTGTATAAACACCGTTCTGGTGAATTGAGAGGTTTTCACTTGGTGAGTAAATTTTGTGAGGTTTTCATTTTGTGAGTAAAACATAAGAAAAAATTTGCCTCCGTGAATTAGCTAGGTCCATTTTGAGTATGCTCTTAAGCTTTACCAGACTGAAATTTACGCCCACATTAATCACTAAACTTTCAAAATCACATTGCACCTTTGGAGTTACAACTGCATAGGTGGTTTTTAAAATACAAAATGATTATATTTAAGTGGTTATATTTTTAATGTTTTGTATGTTTTGTTTAAGGGCATTTGGTCCACTTTGGTGCCATGAAGACATCACACCCAAAAATCAAAATTCAAAGAGTGCTGAACAGCTTACTAATTTTCTACGTCATGTTGTATCCGTATTTAAAGACTCCAAATCAGGTACTTTGTCCAATTTCCCCAAATGCCACTTTCGCCATTTTCTGTTATGGAGCATATTCTTCCCATTATAACCACACATTATACATACATACAAACATATATACGTATGCATATGTGTAAATATATGGTTCTGTATTTGGCACTGACAGCAGGAGAATATTCATAGGGGAGCCTTGAAGCTTATTTCAAATGTGCCTAAGTGAATGATTGTTAATGTCATGTATTTTTGCGTTATGCTCTATCAAATAATTCCCAGAGGTCACTGTTCACCTTGCTGCGTTTACCTCACTCAATTTAAACTACTCCCTCTAATATTAATTTTTTTCGAGAAGGCCATGACACAACACACGCAGGAAAAGATGTTCAACATCACTGATCATCAGGGAAATGCAAATCAAAACCACAATGAGATATCACCTTACACCTGTCAGAATGGCTAGAATCAAAAAGACAACAAATAACAGTGTTGGCGAGGATGTAGAGAAAGAGGAACCCTCACGCACTGTTGGTGGGGATGTAAATTGGTGCAGCCAATGTGGAAGATGGTACGAAATTTCTCCCCCAAATATTAAAAATAGAAGTATCATATGATTCAGTAATTTAGCTACTGGGTATTTACCCAAAGAAAATGAAAACACTAACTTGAAAGGATATATGCACCCCTGTGTTTATTGTAGCATTATTTGCAGTAGCCAAGATACGGAAGTAACTCAAGTGTCCATCCATAGAGGAGTGGATAAGGAAGATGTGTGTGTGTGTGCGCATGTATGTGTTTGCATGTGTGCGTGCATGTATATAGTTGTAGATATGTATTCATTCCATATATATTCCATTGATACAATATGTATATTTTATACATAATGGAATGTATATAACAGAATATATAATAATGGACTGTCATACAGCCATAAAAAAGGACTAGATCTTGCCATTTGTGACAACGTGGATATACCTACAGGGTATTAAGCTAAGTGAAGTAAGTCAGATTGAAGAAAAAAATTGCAACATGATTCTACTCATGTGAAATCTAAAAAACAGATGCATTAACAAAAAGCAGAATCAGACCTATAAATAGAACAAACTGAGGGTTGCCAGAGGGAAAGGTGTAGGGAAATGGGCAAAGTGGATGAAGGGGAGAGAGAGATACAGGCTTCCAGTTATGGAAGGAATAAGTCACGGGACTAAAAGGCACAGCGTAGGGAATCTAGCCAATGATAGTATGATAGTGTTGTAGTGTTGTAGTGTTGTATAGTGATAGATGGTAGACACACTTGCGGTGAGCATAGTGAAACATACAGAGAAGTCGAAGAAGTCAAATCCCTGTGTTTTACACCTGAAACTAATGTGACATTGTGTGTCAAGCATACTCAAATTTTGACATTTTACAAAAAAGCAAAGGCAGCCATGAGTAATAAATCTTACTGACTGTATTCAGACTCAACTGTGAAAAACTGTCAGATTTGAAAACTGGTTTAAAAAAGAATCTTGTGATAAAATGTCTTTGACTTTGAAAGTATTTGCTAATAATTCCTGTGCCGATGATCATTCAATATTCTGAACACACTGTGATTCTTATGTAGATTATAATAACATCAGGATGTTTAAGCCCTTAGCTACATACCATTCAGATTCGACTTGGCCTGGGCTGATCTGTGTGTGAAATTTAAATCTGGTTCCTCAGCGTAATAACAACTACCCCTACCTTTTTTCACACACCAGGCTGACCAAATGAAATACAGCTCGCTGGCTTTCTCAGCTGCTCCGATAATTAACACATCTCACAGTTTGAAACATTCCAGATTAGCCACATCTCTTCTCATTATCAGAGGGTGCTTTCTAAAAAAGCAAAAAATACTGATAAACTGAAACGAGTTTCTCATTTCAGGAATAGGAGTGACATTTCTTGTTTTGAGCTTGTTTGGGAAAGTTTGTGAAATGTCACCACCTCTTATACTGCTATTTCCCCCACTTAGAAGTCACTTAATAGTTGAATATAACCCAGAGGAAGAAATTTACTGTTTGTGTACAAACCCTTAATTGGCTTAAAATCTTTGATTGCATGAAGACGATGAAAATGAGAAAACTCATGAATCCCTGTACTGTTTTCCCAGAGGATGCTTAGAGTCTGAGTCTTTTCACATCTTGCCCCAGACATTTTTACTCACTACAGTTTCTTTATACATCTCTGCTCTCGGCCTGTTTCCACTGTAGCACAATAAAATATGTTCCTGGAAACACTTGTATTAAACAGGGTAGCATAACTGCTACAACACACAACCCCCAAAGCTCAGAGGCTTAACACAGTAGAAGGTTACTTCCAATCACATAACAGTTCAGTATAGAGTTGAACTGTTCAGTTTAAAGAGACTTTAATTTAGATAGCCTCTCTTAAGGACATTGGCATAGTTTGGCAGGCGGCCTTCCACATGGTGCTTCAAAGACCTTCCTTCTGTGGCTCTGATCACCTCGGCTCAGAGGTCCTCAGCCCTCTTCATCCAGCCAGCAGGTGGAGGAAGAGAGTGAGTGGAGGATTACTCAGGAGGAATTTACACCACACGTGGCTCGAACGTGGCTCGAACGTGGCATCCATGCTTCTTCCCACATTCCACCAGCCAGAACTCAGGCACAAGGCCACCACTGCAAGAAAGGCTAGGAAATGTAGGTTTGCTGTGTGACACATTAAATAGCCTTTCTTAAGGACATTGTCATGTCATTGGTGGCACTGTCACCAAGAACATGGTGGGGTGCTAGAGTCCTACCAGTATAGTTCTAGCCGTCAGGTCCATTCTGATTTCAGTAAGTTTTGTTTGTTGACCGAGGATCTAACACCACACATAATAAAATTAAGTAGGAAAATGAAACAAAATAAAGGTACAAATTCCATTTTGAAACACGATCCATTCATAAATTGTGAACTGCCTATATGGGTTTAATCCTGTATTTCCTACCTTGAATATGCCTAAGTCCATTTTCCAGGGCCCTTTGTTTGCTCTGTAGGAACATCCTCTCATATAATCCAAAGGTCCCTAGGGTCAAACAGCCAGGCAGCAGCTAAGAACAATGACATTAAATGCTCCTTCCTGGTTCACTTTTATGTGACCATCAAATGTACCACGGAATCCCCTAGATCACAGAGACAGCCAAAATCACTGTTTTCATCTTGTCCTCTGACTTTGTAGTCAGTTTTTCTCCTGCAGAGAGGCACAGCAGAGAGTACAGATCAATGGCCCAGAGTTCAATCATGTGCTTTACCTTACATTTTCACTTCCTTCTGATCAGGTGGTTTCCTGATGACTGAGATTAGCTTCATGCTATTGGAAGAACCAATATTCGGGCGAGAGTTGAGATGATGGTTGCCTTCTTGGCAAAATCTGCATTTCAATATCTGCATATTCATAGACTATCCTGAAGAGCAAAGACTTTGGTAGAGGCCTTGGTTGTGTTCAGAGTTGATGCGATCTATTAACAGCTTTCCTCTGCACAAGTACTCTGAAAACTTGTTCCTAACAAATTCTCTTAAGGAAAAAGGAGTTAAAGTACTCTATGCAAAAAAGTACTTCAGAAGAACAATGTAGAAAAATGGTAGGGCAATAAACAAGAATACATTTGTGAGTATATTCTGTGTCAGACACTGTACAAAGAATTTTTTAAATCGTCGAATTTTCACGACTTTATGATACAGATACTATAAGAAAATAGGGTCATAGAGACTACATTTCTTGTCAGAGTCCCAAAACCCCTTGTTCAAAACCAGGCAGGACCACCTTGCTGCAAAGCTTCTGACTCTGCTACACTATGCCTCTTTAAGATCTGTTCAAATTTGTTGTTGTTGTTGTTAACTCTAAAATGGCTCATTCTTAAACAAGTACCGCCAGAGGATAGCTCTTTGCAGTTAGCCTGATTTAAACCTATCGATCACCGATGCCACAGGGTTTTCAGAGTATAGGTTGACCATCTGCCTCTTGGCGCCTAGGTTTCCATCTGGAGCAGCACTTGAGTGAAGTTGCATTGCAGACAGCCCTCGCAAGCTCTTCGAGGCACTATGCCGGTCGGTCCTTCCAGATATTCCGGGCGCTCAAGCAACCTCTGTCAGCACATGCCTTGTCTGACCTTCTCTCCAGGCTGGTGGAGGTGATTGGAGAACATGGAGATGAGATTCAGGTACCACCAAACTCATTCTCCTTCTCTCATGTCAAAGATGAGGACTTAACGACTTTCTTTGAGCCTTCTTTTTCTCGCCAATTATCTCAGCCATGTGGGCATATACAATTTATTTTAAAAATTTCTGGATGTGAACTTTTATATTTACAAAAATCACTTTGGGGTGCCTGGGTGGCTCAGTCTGTTAAACGTGCAGCCCCTGATTTTGGCTCAGGTCATGATCTCACAGTTCATGGAATCCAGCCCCGCATCAGGCTCTGCATGGACAGTGGGGAGCCTGCTTGGGATTCTCTCTCTCCCTGTCTCTCTCTGCCCCTCCCCTGCTAGCGCGCACGCGCTCTCTCTCTCTCTCTCTCTCTCTCTCAAAATGAATAAACTAAAAAAAATCACTTCAAGGCACATTGTTCTAGAAATTCAGTGGATATTGTTTTATTGAGCCAACAACTGCAAATCCCCTGGTGACTCCTTGGTTGTTTTTGTTGTTAGTTTTAGTTGACTGGGAATTGGGGAATTATTTGCACTGTTTTTTCCTTTTGCCACCAGCCCCTAGGCTGGCAAAGGACAAAACCAGGATGCTGTTGTGCAGTCTCCCCACCCAGAGAAGGGATCTCCATCATATCTAAGCAGAACACTACCCCTCTCTGTATAACTAACCCTCAGTACACTGAGAAGAGCTGAAGAAGTAATGGAGAGAATAGATGCCACAAGAAGACCCTATACATAGATCCCAGGCACTGGGGTGCGTTACAAGCATCACAAGGGCATTACAAGCTCTGTAGCTTGGGCCAAGCCTTTCTTTCCCTTCTTTTCCATCAGAAAAGTTACTACACCCCAGGAGACTAACACACGTGTGAACTCCAGCCTCTTTTCCTCTTTCTGGACATTAGATGTGCCCTTCAAAATGTCACTGATGCACAGATCTTCTCATACCTCAGCTCTTAATTTCTGGCTCAGATATTGACATTCTGTATTTCAAATGTCCACCATTCCCCTCATCAAGGAGCAACGATTGCCACCTTAGCCTTTGCTTCTCCCTGCTGGATGTAGAATGAGATTGACATGTTGAGGACTCAGATCTAGGGAAATAAATCTTGGTGATTACCTGCTAACTGCTAAGCCATCTGAATTTCCTAAGTGGCTGTTAAATTTTGTTTTTGGACTCGGTAAGTTAAAGTAGCATAGATTGTCTAGCACTCAATGATATTAAAATTAGATTTGAATAAAGTTTGTGTTAATTAAATTTATCTTCAGGAAGAGAACAGTAGTTTTAAGCAGTACAAAATGTTATCTTTGCATGTCTGGCAGGGTTACGTAATGGAAGCACTCCTTACATTGGAAGCTGCTGTGGATAACTTGTCTGACTGCTTAAGGAACAGCGATCTCTTAACGGTATTATCTCGGTGAGAAGAAGCTTAATGACTTTTGAAATCAAATATGCTGGACTTAATATTTGAGACATGCCTGGACCTTGGGCAAAATCCAAAGAACAAATCTAGTTTTTGAAGTATGACATTTTCTTTAGTTTAAAAAAAAAAAGAAATTATAACACATACAGACACATGTTATATAAGTAGTTTTACACATCAGAAAGATAGAGAAGAAATGATAGTTCTAAATAATACAAATAGTAATCCTTTCTCATTTTCTTTTTTAAGACTTTGAGTACTTTTTCAAATTTTATATAATAATTATCCTGTTTATTTCATTGTAAACAGAAACCAAAACTACTTATTTTTTTGAATGAATATATATAAAACTCATCTGAACTATCACTAAAAACAGCTGGGATTTTGTGAATGGTGTGAGAAAGTGGTCTAGTTTCAACCTTCTGCATGTTGCTGTCCAGTTCTCCCAGCACCATTTGTTAAAGAGACTGTCTTTTTTCCATTGGACGTTCTTTCCTGCTTTGTCAAAGATGAGTTGGCCATACGTTTGTGGGTCTAGTTCTGGGGTTTCTATTCTATTCCATTGGTCTGTGTGTCTGTTTTTGTGCCAAAAACAGCTGGGATTAATGTCGATTTTATGTGAATATATTCCTATCTTAGGATCTTCCTTTTTTATTTTTATTCCTTTTTCTCCTGCCAATGTTTAATTACCCATTTAAAATCATTCACAATTCTGTATTCTGTTTATATAATTGAGCTCATTTTGCTTGAAATTGAGTCAGTGATGTTATCATAAATCACACTGAGCCTTGTTTCACTTTTAAGTTGGACATTTTTTATGGATAGGTAATTTTAGTATGATTACTAACATCATACATATTTTTCTATATAAACCTACAGATTTATCTCAATCAGTAAGAATTTAGCAGGAATGTTGATAAAGAGTTTTATCTTTTCAGCCTGAAATAGGCTTAGAGATAATTTCTCAGAGATTTTTTAGAAGTGTAAAAAGATTCCTTTGATGCAGTTACTTTTTTCTTTCTAGATAACATCCTTTCCATTTCTGTTCTCCTTATCAGTCAGTTAATAGAATACTAAACTTTGTGCCTATCAGGTACACTTTATTTCTAAATTACTTCTGCCCAAATTCAAACAAAAATATACGTGAAAGATCAGTAAACTTTACCACCAACCCCTCTTGTTTAGCCTTTCAATATGTATAAGTAGGTATTACGTTTTGTTGTGGTTTTGTTGGTAAGGGTTCTCATTGCTTGTTTTTGTTTTTTTCACAGCTTAAGTTTAGGAATAAGGAAATTTATTACTTTAAGTTTAAGAGTATGGTTGGGGGGGGGGGGGGGAAGAATAGATAGTGTTTCCAAAGAATGATTTCCCTCCCTTATAGTTTGTCAGTGGATCTTAAAAGGACTGGCTCTTCACTGAAGCGTGTTGGCTTTCTATTGAACTTTTTTATTTTTATACCCAGCTCTTCATCACCAGATTTAAGCTCTAGCACTAAACTAACAGCAAGCAGAAAGAGCACAGGACAACTAAATGTGAACCCGGGGACAGCCAGTGGCAATACAGCAACCGCAGAACGGAGCCGGCATCAAAGAAGCTTTTCTGTGCCCAAGAAGTTTGGTGTTGTCGACCGATCCTCAGACCCACCCAGGAGTGCCACACTGGACAGAATCCAGGCTTGTACCCAACAAGGCCTCTCCTCAAAAACCAGAAGCTCATCCTCCTTGAAGGACAGCCTCTCAGACCCATCACACATAAACCATCCAACAAACCTATTGGCCACCATCTTTTGGGTCACAGTGGCTTTGATGGAATCTGATTTTGAGTTCGAATACCTAATGGCCTTAAGGCTGTTGAATAGACTACTGGCTCACATGCCACTTGATAAAGCTGAGAACCGAGAAAAACTTGAGAAACTCCAAGGGCAGCTCAAGTGGTCAGACTTCTCAGGGTTGCAGCAGCTACTGCTGAAGGGATTCACCTCCCTCACCACCACTGACCTTACCCTGCAGCTTTTCAGTTTGCTGACACCAGTATCCAAAGTATCCATGGTGGATTCATCCCAAGCCATTGGTAAAGCCAATATCACTCATTCTCTTGCACAGTTCTGATGGTTGTTGTGTTTACGTTTGGTGTGATAAGATAATGGGCTTAGTACATTTAACAATTCTGTTTAGAAATGGTTGTTGGGGAATAGTTTGTCATTTATTCCAAAATTACACATAACGTAAATCTTAAAATTATTTACACTGTAGAAGGCATTTTTAAGGCAATAGCATAAAAGGTACAAAAGTAATGTATATATATTAATACATATTAATATATATTAATATGTATTAATTATTTCTTCATGCTTTCTAGATCGAATTGCATATACAGTCAGTTTATTCCATTTTTCTTGTACAGATAAGCATTTTTTTCTCTTTTTTCTTAACTCCTAAACCTTTTTCTTCTTAGCCTTTTACTCCCTCTTGAAAATTCTCTATTCTCTTGATTCCCTCTTGTTTTGAATTAAGCCAAATCACCAGCTGTATTTTTAATATTATGACATGTGACCCAGACTTCTTTTCATGAAGGTATAGCTTAACACAGTAGTACTAAGCCATTACTTACCATTTTAAAGAGTCTTCTTTTACTGCATTACATGAGCAAGACTTAAATTGGTTGGCTTACATCCTCTCAAACAAGCTTTTCTTAAAATATGCTTTCTGATAAAAGTTTCAAACTAGTGTTTTTGTTCGTCTTAATCTGCTTTTAAAAATCTGTGCCAGTCATCCTGATTCACAAACAGTCCATAGCGAGACAGTCACCGTGTCTCAGAATTACAAATCTACTTCAGTGCCTCCTCTGTAACTGGTGTCATTGTTGTTGTATGCTTTTTCCCTGGATTTTGTGTTCAAAAGACTGCTTTTGCATCCCCTCAGAATAAAATCTACAATATTCCTTCCCACTGTTAACAGTTAAAATGTACCATATTCAGCTGTCTCCACTGCATCTTCCCCGATCCAGGGTTTCCACTGAACGTGTTGTGTCTCCTGCCCCAGCTGATTCAGCATTTTGAAAATCCCAATCAGTTCTGCAAGGATATAGCCGAAAGGATTGCGCAGGTATGATTTCTGGTTCCACACTCAAGTGGGTCGATATGGGCCTTCAGGAAGGTCCAACGCGGAACAGCAATCACCCAGAGAGGGAAATGAGTTTCCCAAAACCTGAGAATAATGATTGAGATTGCTAGTAATTGACGTCTCTGAGTAGCTGATGCACATTGTCTTTTGGTTTCATTATTGAGAAGACAGGTGGAAAGAATTTGTGAAAATCATATTAGCTAATTACTGAGATAAGTGCTTTTGCAGCTTACCAAAATATATATATATATATATCAATGTGCTTTCCAGATTCCAGAGCAAAATTGCAAACCTATCTTTTGGCACAATTGCTAACACATCTCCCTATTTATCAGGCAATTTTATCCCTAATTGATTCTCTTCTTTTAAAAGGTGTGTTTGGAAGAGAAGAACCCCAAACTTTCCAATCTTGCGCATGTCATGACCCTTTATAAAACACACAGCTACACGAGGGACTGTGCCACATGGGTCAACGTTGTCTGCCGATACCTTCATGAAGCATATGCTGACATCACCTTGAATATGGTGACCTACCTGGCAGAGGTAAACTCTTCATTAGGGACAAACCTATTATCGTTTCCATGGCTAAAATATTTATATGGAATGGATAATAATCTCTTAATTTCATTTACTGAGTGCCTATTATATATTATCATAGATGCTATATGGAATCTTTTTAAATCTTCATGGCAAGCCACTGATGTAGATTCTATTATAACAAAGAATCTGAGGCCCAACCAGGTTAAATAATCTGCCATATGTTTAAAGCCAGCCTTTGAACTGAGGTATAACCCACCTCAAAAGCTTAAAATCCTTCTTTTTACTGCAGTAATACGTGTCAGAACATTCCAGAAATGGAGAAATGTTATCTTAATTACCCCAGGTGTTCATATGTTATTTAAGGAGTTACTATGTGGCTTGATATATTTAATGGTTGTTGGCTCTGAACCAATTACCCAGCATATATTTTGAAGTAAACTTTTTATCTTCCTTTTTAAGTTTGTTTTTAAAACCGGAATGGGATTCTTTTGTGCCCATAGAAATGTGTTTCTAGCACACTTGTTCCAAGACCCTGTTGTCCATTGGTGCTGGAAATACACAGCAAATGAAATGTATTCTGTGCAGCACCTCCAGTCACCCACTAGCTTAACCCACTAGGTCACGAAACCCATGAGGCAAGTGGCCACTGACAGCCACCTCGGGTTAGCATGTTCACTACTGCTTTTGTGAACGTATGCATGCATACGTCTTGCCAGGGCCTTTTTGGAAGTGATGAGGACGGTACCTTCAAACTTTTCTTTCAGATACGTCAACAGTGTAGGGTGCAGATAAGTTACAGAATCAATCATTGTCTGAAAGTTTCCGTAAGACTGAACCTGAACCTAGAAGAGGGTCCTTGCCCCCTCCATCTGCGTTGACAGTTGGTCCTGCAGGATTTTGATTTGCAGTCTGGGTCAGCAATGTGTGAGCTGTATTCAGAATGTCAACACCCCAAAGAGCCTCTCTTATATGCCACCCTGCTGCTTTTGACAATCACCTTGGTGACATCTGCCCCACAAGAGCCGCTAAGAAAACACACACGTACCGGAATAACTGACGCAAATGCCCTGCTTACAGACGATGCCTGTTTTAAAACAAAGTGAAGTGTAAGTTAGCAAGGAGGCAAGACTTGTTTAGATCACTAGACAGAGTCAGTCAGAGAAAGACAAATTTCATATGATTTCACTCGTATGTGGAATTTAAGAAACAAAACAGATGAACATAGGGGAAGGGAGAGGGAGGCAAACCATAAGAGACTCTTAACTACAGAGAACAAACTGAGGGTTCCTGGAGGGGAGGTGGGTGGGGGCTGGGCTAAATGGGTGATGGGCATTAAGGAGGGCATTTGTTGGGTTGAGCACTGGGTGTTACATGTAAGTGATGAATCACTGAATTCATTGTTAACTACGCATTAACTAACTTGAATTTAAATTTTTTTAAATAAATAAATAGAAAAAGGAAAAAATAAAATGTAGAATTTAAAAAGCTTCGCAAATACAAACGGGATGTGGCATATACATATGTACATATTATTCGGACTTAAAAAGGAATGAAGCACTGACACAGGCTGCCATATGGATGAACCTTGACAACTTTATGCTAAGTGACATAAGCACAAATATTATTGGATTCCACTTGTACAAGGTGCACAGAATAAGCAAATCTACAGAGACAGAAAGTAGACTAGTGGTTACCCAGGGCTGGGGGCAGGGGGTGATGGAGAGTTAGTGTTTTACAGTTAGCAGAGTGTTTATTTGGGATGATGAACAAATTCTGGAAATAAATAGTGGCAGTGGTCACACAACAATGTGAATGCACTTTATGCCACTGAATTATACACTTAAAAATGGTCCAAATGGTAACTTTATATTATATATATATGTTATATACATATGTGTTATATATATGTTATATATATTTTTTTCACTGTGAAAATAAATAAATGAAATAAATAAGTGAAAATAAATAAATAAATAAATAAATAAATAAGAATAGATTACCTAATTTGTTCTATTCAGGCTTTGTCACAAATTGTCACTACAGATTTTGTTATCAACTTAATTTCCCACCATGCATAAGATATACTAACTCCTATTTCAAGTACGCACAGGCACATGTGTATAATTATAGATCGCTGTGGTCAGGATTGCCAGTGAATCCGTTCTGTTCACTTAACAGTAATTTTGTGTGTATTTACATGTGTTGACATAGCTCACATAGTGTCATTTTCAACAACTGTGGGATTCTAACAGGTTAAGATAACACAATTTGCTTAAACGTCTCCTCTTTTGCTTATATTCATAACTTTTTTCTATTACAAGTGGTTCTTTTATGTAGACTTCTTATCAGATAATATTCAGGTTATTTCTTCTGGTGGCACTTCCCAAAGTTACTATCCAGGTGAAGGAATACACAAATGTAGTTGTACACATTTGGGAAATTGGTCTCACAGACACTTTCCCAGTTTACGATACTGTCAACAATGTATAAATGTGTTTTCCCATATCCTCACTATATTTTATTACTCTATTCCTGTTTTCAGCCTAATATTTTTATTGGTACTTTAAAATTATTCTCTTTATGTATTTCCTTTCTAGGAATATATTTCATTTTTCCACACAATAGATCTGTATAATTGCCCATATCCTCCTACATTAACTGCTCAGTTATTTCTTTTGACCACTTTTGATGTGAAATTTCAGCATATATTTGGATCCTTTCTACAGTTCTTTATTTAGAATAGTAATCTTTTATCCTGATAAACGTCACTTAGATTTTCTCATTAGTTTGCTTTCCTTTTTGAAAATATTGTTGATATCGTAGTATATGTCCATAAAAGAAAAGTTTCGTAGGTACAGAAAAGAGGGGGAAGAGAACAGGTGGAGGAGGTGAAGTAAAGAAAAATCATCCAAAATAATTACATTATCTAGAGATTTCTTTCCTTTGTTAAAAAACACACACCCATTCAAGGGGCGGCTGGGTGGCGCAGTCGGTTAAGCGTCTGACTTCAGCCAGGTCACGATCTCGCGGTCCGTGAGTTCGAGCCCCGCGTCGGGCTCTGGGCTGATGGCTCAGAGCCTGGAGCCTGTTTCCAATTCTGTGTCTCCCTCTCTCTCTGCCCCTCCCCCGTTCATGCTCTGTCTCTCTCTGTCCCAAAAATAAATAAAAAACGTTGAAAAAAAAATTAAAAAAATAAAATAAAAAACACACACCCATTCACATTGATTTCAGCATCATCTATCACACAGAAATTGTATATCCTTCCTCTTTCAATTAATATTATCTTATATCCTTTACCATCTTTAAAAATGCCATTCTATTGATGATATATTTTATCATGTAATTTACCATAATTTATGTATCCATTTCCCTAGTGTTCAGCATTTATATTACTTACAGAGCTATTTTGTTTAGTTTTTCTTGTGAGTTTCTTACCATCATAAAAAACACCTTAGTAGAATCTCATATATAAATCTTTATTTTTTTATTTTTTTTTTAATTTTTTTTCAACCTTTATTTATTTTTGGGATAGAGAGAGACAGAGCATGAACGGGGGAGGGGCAGAGAGAGAGGGAGACACAGAATCAGAAACAGGCTCCAGGCTCCGAGCCATCAGCCCAGAGCCTGACGCGGGGCTCGAACTCACGGACCGTGAGATCGTGACCTGGCTGAAGTCGGACGCTTAACCGACTGCACCACCCAGGCGCCCCTAAATCTTTATGTCTATCTCTAGGTTTGGAAAAGTTCCTAGAAGTACATAACTAGTTCAAAAGACATAAATTGTTCTTAGTACTCTGGATGTCAATTGCCAAATTATCCAAGTTACATTTCCACTGATGTTACATTTCCATCTTATATCCTCACCAATACCGACTATTATCACTTGCTAAACTTTGCCAGTTTGATAACCAATAACTTGTGTCTTTTCTTTTAATATGTAATTTTCAATAATTGGTGGTATTCGATGCTTTCCTTTTGAGGTTTATTTTGTTGTATTTCATTTGTAAATGTGGTATTTATATATTCAAACCTGCTTACATTGCCTCTAATGATAACCTTATTCCTTCAGTAGTTAGGATTTTCTTTTCCTTCCTAAGGAAATGTGCAATCTTAAAGGTGTTGGGAAGCATCGGTGCTTGTGCATGAAAAGGCTGGAGTCTCACTGACTGACCTATGCCTTGCCTCCCACAGCTGCTGGAGAAGGGTCTCCCAAGCATGCAGCAGCCCCTCCTCCAGGTGATCTACAGTCTGCTCAGCTACATGGATCTGTCAGTGGTGCCTGTAAAGCAGTTTAACGTGGAAGTTCTGAAGACCATTGAAAAATATGTCCAAGTGAGTATCTGGATACCTTCACTTAAGAGCTATGATGTTTCCAGAGAGTCATCCCAGAAAGACTGAAGCTTCGCTTGTAGCTTATCCTTGGCTGTAGAACTGTATGGGCGCCAGGCTGCACATTCACGCGTTGATATCCCTAATGCCCTGAGAGCAGTCGGGGATGGTGGCCAACCACACTGCGAGTGACATACTGAGGAGAAAGACAGGACCAAGCTGAAGCATTTCTGAGCCCCTCAGAGGACACAGTTCTGCCTCTTGGGGCTGGCAGGCTGGGTACTGAAAGCAGGTACCTGGCTGGGAGGGCCCAGCAGGGTTGTATTTGTGGTTTCCTATTTCAAAGAAGGAGAAGGAACCTAGGGCAGATGTTTCAACATACAAAGGGTTAATTCAGGGATTAAAATTGTCACTTGAGAGTTGAGGACAGTAAGGTTAACAACCTGCATGAATGTATTTGAAAATACTACAACAAACAAACACAGGAGTGTACTTGTTGAGTTGCAGAGTTCAAGGGCAGATGCTAGGTTCTATCTGGTTGAACTCATTGACAAAGCCATACAGTGTCAATGTTAGACGTTTTTACCCCATCATCACTTGAATACCACGTTGCTTGCGGAAATTATTTAATGCTAAAAATGATTTCCAAGCCTTTTTTATTGTCCGTGTTTTAAGTGGCATTTCTCCGAAAGTAGTCGTGCACTTGGTAGGCATTCAGTAACACTTTCTCACTTCACAGCAGTCCTGAGGGCCAGGTGTCCAGTTCCTATTTGTCTACAAATCCCTTGCCCCTAGTGCAAAGAAAGAATTGTTTTACTAGACTGCCTATTCTAACTAACTCAGGACTGTGGGCTATCTCTGTTATTCGATATCTTATCTTGAATGGGGACTGATTTCACATCCAAATCATGACCTCCCATTGTGCAGAATTTAAGAGGGAAGGAAATATGTTTTATTTCATGTGCTCTTATTCCACAGGCTAGGTAAATAATAATAATAACTTTTATCAAGTTCGCTTATCTGTACTCAATATTTTTATGGGAGAAGCCCATCAGCCTGCCTGGGGCCTGTCAGGGAGACAAAGATCGAAAAACAAAGTGAGTCTCACAGAAAGAGTAGGCATGTGATAAGCCAATAAGGAGAGGAAGGGCATTCCAGGACAACGGAACAAGGAAAGAGCTTGCCTGGTATGAGGAACTCCAAGGTTAGCCTGGGGGGGAGGTTACTTCTGTAGGCTGTGCTCAACGTGTGTGGACTCCACACTGCCCACCAGAGGGAGCCCTTGGAGGAGTTTAGGCAGGGAAGCAGCATGGTCTGAAAAGTTCTAGAAAGATCACTGTAGCTGGGGTGGGTATGCTGGACTTCAATAGCGGCTGCAAGTAGGGAGACCAATTAAGAGGCCACTGAAATAGGAGAACGACCAAGGAAGACAGAGACTGGAGGTGGGGAGAATGTTGAGAGTGAGTGGCCAGTAGCATAAATGCATTGGGTTTGTTTTTTTATTCGTACCAAAGAGCTACCTCATTGACCAAAATGGTACCTTGTACTTTTAAACTTCTAGTTATTTGAATATGGACAAAATTTGGTATTTTCTTATTTGCTTGTTTCCTAAATGTATCTTCTCATCTGTACACATTTTTTACGTCCTTTGCCTTTTACATATGATGGAACTTCCTGCACTATTTTAAATCTGTGTATTCTGACTGATCATAAGAAGTTTCAGTAGCTGGGGGTTGATGCATTTTTAAAAATGAAATTGTTTTTAACCATTGAATGTTTTATTCCCGTCAGAGTGTTCACTGGAGAGAAGCTTTGAATATCCTGAAGCTGGTGGTTTCTCGATCTGCCAGTCTAGTTTTGCCTTCCTACCAGCACAGTGACCTCTCAAAGATAGAAATACATCGAGTGTGGACCAGTGCTTCTAAGGAATTACCTGGAAAAACCCTAGACTTCCACTTTGATATTTCGGAGGTATGTTATCTGTTTCTGTAAATTTCAGCAGCTAGAACAGGTGACAAAGGTCAAAACTAGTTGTCTGGGGAAGGAGAGACTTATTTTACATTTACTTCAAAGTAAGTTTTCTAAGGCCTGCATTAGGTTCTGGTTTTTAGGAACACAGTGAATGTCGTATTCATTGGGACTCCAATTGGCAGCTTTTAAAAATAGAAACTAGCCTCAGCTATATAAAAATGATTTTTTGAAAGAGATAACTTTAAAATAGAATGACCATAAGCATTTTAGGGGCGCCTGGGTGGCTCAGTCGGTTGAGCATCCGACTTCGGCTCAGGTGGTGATCTCGCAGCTCATGAGTTCGAGCTCCGTGTCTGGCTCTGTGCTGACAGCTCAGAGCCTGGAGCCTGCTTCGGATTCTGTATCTCCCTCCTTCTCTGCCCGTCCTCTGCTCCCACTCTGTCTCCCTGTCTGTCTGTCTTTCTCTCTCTCTATCTCTTTCTCTCAAAGATAAAATAACATTTAAAAAAATTTTTTAAAGAATGATCATAAGCATTTTAAAGCCTGACCTCATTTCTTTATCTGACAGGTATCATGTCCTATCTTTAAATCCACAACTTTGCTCCCTGACCTCCCAGCCAGACCAGCAAATGACTGAGATTTAAAGAGATACAGAATCTGTCTTTACGGTTGTTTCCCCAAGTGACACGACTTTTTAGACCAGTAAAATGATCCGTATTCTTGCCTCAAGGGAGTGGGAAGGAAGGAGAAAGGGGACTAGTGAACCAAGCCAAGGAATTGGGAAGAAAAGAGAGGTTGGGGGGCACCTGGGTGGCTCAGTCAGTTAAGATCTGACCTCACCTCAGGTCATGACCTCGAGGTTTTGTGAGTTTGAACCCCGCATTGGGCTCTCTGCTGTCAGCGCAGAGCCTGCTTTGGGTCCTCTGTCCCCCTCTCCCTCCGTCCGTCCCCTGCTCACTCGTACGTGCTCTCTCTTGCTCTTTCTCTCTCAAAAATAAATAAGCATTACATTTTTAAAAAGAAAAAGAAAAGAGAGGGTGGAAGGTAGTCAGATCTGCCTGCTGCTCTGAGAATGGACATTTGGGAAGCCTGTCCCAACTCTAAGATGCACAAATACTTTGCTCTCCTGTCTCGCTTACCCCGTGACCCATAAGCCCGCCAAAGCAGAAACTATACTCTGTCCATTTTGTAACCAGGGTCTGGTACAGAGTCTGGTGCATTACAGGTACTTAACAAACATTCTTCAACACTGCTGAATGAGTAAGTCCACTGAAAGAATAAACTAGATCTGCTTGTGTGAAACTTACTTGCTCTATTAAGTAGGTAGGTTGTAGTCAGCTTGGGTTTTTTCACACCGTGATCTCAGTGACCTTCTATCATTTCAGTATCCAGGTTAAGATACTCTTGCTGCTATTGTGATACCTGCATCTGTAGTTTGTGGGTCTGATATTAAGGTATCCAATCAATAATTTTTTCCATTTGTAACATTCCTTTTTCACATTGCTGGAGGGGAAAGCTACTTTTATTCTTTGGAGTTTGTTCTGTTCCAAAGGGGTACAGAAAGCATGCAGCCACTGGGCTGCATGCCCCAGGGACGGAGCTGCTCCAGAATAAAGAGCCTGGAGAACCAGATGGAGATTTTCCAGCTGGTGTCTACCACCTCTGAGGGTAGGCCCACAAATGGGATTCTGCAGCCCCACTGGGGCTCAAGTTTGGATGGTGCTGCCTACCCAGCTGCCACCCGGCCGTGTGTGAAATGAACTCTCAGGAAGTGAAATTTCCAAAGCGTTGCCCGAGTACCTGGCCCTGAACTCATTCGTTTAAATAACTGAAAAGATATAATCACTCTAAGTAGATTTTAAATAACTGAGAGTATACAGAGATTGGTGACCAAAGGTTGGGAAGACGGGAAGGAATTTTGGCCTCTTGTTAGAATGATAAGAAATTCTTTTAAGCTTAATCTGAAAACTATTTGCTTTCCTGAATGTTTTGCTTCTGACCTTTACCAGTGGTTGAAGAACAAGCAATTGGATTTGTTTTCAGCTGCTAAAGAGGGTGGGAAAATGTTAACGATGTAAAATGATTTAGAATGTATATTTGAACGTGGGGCACCTGGTGGCTCAGTCGGTTAAGTATCTGACTCTTGATTTCAACTCCGGTCATGATTTCATGGTTCATGAAATCGAGCCCCACATCAGGCTCTGTGCTGATAGTGCGGAGCCTGCTTGGGATTCTCTCTCTCTCCCTCTCTGCCTACCCCTCCTGTGCTCACTCTTTCTTTCTTTCTCTCTCTCTCTCAATATAAATAAATAAACTTAAAAAAAAATCAGAATGTGTATTTGAACATCAGGAAAATGAGCCTACCTGTAACACTGAACTTCTCTAAGGTTTAATCAAATAGGCAATGTTTGGTTGCTGCTGGGTGGAGCGATCCCATATTCCACACAACTATTGAACAGATAGAAGAGTGAGATTTTGTATTCTCTTCTGTCAAGACGCCAATCATCGGGAGGCGATACGATGAGCTGCAGAACGCTTCTGGGCGCGATGGGAAGCCCAGGGCGATGGCCGTCACCAGGAGCACATCCTCTACCTCATCGGGCTCCAACTCCAATGTCCTTGTTCCTGTTAGCTGGAAAAGGCCCCAGTATTCTCAGGTATAGAATCCTAGTCCCTGGGATTGGAAGAGAGAGCTCAGGGAGACCTCTCGAGCCCAACTGCCCATGTGATCCCAGGTTTCTCCATCACCATCCTGGCATTGCCCACGTAGGCATCAACACTTCAGTGATGAGTATCCCGTGGCACCCCAAGGGACCCTGTCTTATCTTGGAACAGCTCATTTCATTGAGTTGAAGTCTGACATTTGCCGCTGCTACCCGTTGGTCCTAGCTCTCTTTAGACTTAGGAAATGAAATCTGATCTCTCACCTTCAGAGAGATAAAGAAACCCTCTCCCCTCTACCACTCATTCCAGTGAGTTCTCTTTTCTCCAAAGACTATATCCTTAGTTCTCCCAACCAGTTCTATACGATAGGGCTTCATAAGAATGCAGAATCTGCCCTTCCGGTTGCTTCCTCAAGCCACACTGCTTTTTATTTTATTGTTTGAAGTTTTTTTTTAATATAATTTACTGTCAAATTGGCTAACATACAGTGTATACAGTGTGCCCTTGGTTTGGGAGGTAGATACGTAAGCGATGAACCACGGGAATCTACCCACACTGCTTTTTAGACCAGTAAAATGATCTAAATTCTTACCTTGATGGAGAGGGGAAGGGAAAGGGAAGGGACTGGTGAGTGAAGCTAAGGAATCAGAAAGGAAAAAGAGGGTGGAAAGTAGTCAGACTTCCTGCTGCTCTGTGAATGAATACTGGGGACGCCTGTACTTTCTCTAAAAGGTGCAAACACTTTGCATTCCAGTCGGCATTCTGACTGCTGTCCCCTAAGCATGCACTCCAGTGGTCTCCATGGACAGTCTGAGCTATGTGGAGCAGAACCGGCCGCTGGATCTCTCTGTAGTTCTCTCTCTGTAGATCTCTCTCTTAGTACAGCCTAAGACCGTATTTGCTCAATGGGCAACTGCATTAATGTCATCAGGCTTGCCATCGAGTAAAACTTCTGCATTATTCAGACCTCTTTGGTGACATTAATCACCTTAAGTGGAAAAGGAATTTATTAACTCTCATGGCTTGGCTTCAAGCACAGCTGGATTCTAGTACACAAAACGAGGAACTGGGTCCTTAGACTCCCTCTGCCCTTCTCGCTGTCCTCGCCTTCCCTTCCCAGTCTTGGCCCTCCTTTCCTCTCCGGTGATTTCATTCTGAGGCAGACTCTTCTCTTATGAAGCACCAAAAACTTCGAGCAGCTCCAGATTTATATGGTCTTTGGCTCCGATGATTTCAGGTCAAAGGCATTCCCTTCCCAACATCTGAAGCAATTCTAGAAGGACTCTTGCTGCACGTGTGAGGGAGGCAAAGCCCCACAGTGGGAGAGGAGCTGTTTCTGAGATAAAAAAGAGGGACCGTGTTACTGGAAGAAGGCCAAATGGGTGGGCGCTGAGCAGAGAACACTTTGCACACGTGCAGGACTCACCTTCACCCTCCAAGGTTGGAGGAGTGGAATATATAGCATGGGGCCTGCTGGAACATGGCTGGCTCTCAGTAAGGGTTCACTGAGCTGTTGAGTAAGAGAGCCTACTATACATTCTTAGGGATTTGGAAAAGAGAAGAAAAATAGACATCCCAACACCCATGTTCCTCTGTATGGATTCCTTCCCCGAATTGTAAGATGCCCACTAAAACTTAGGGAAATATTTTAGCAAATCTCTTGCCATTCTCCAACATTAAGGTCTTCCTGTCTTTGGCCTTGATAAAATACTGTATTGGGTGTCCCTTCTATAATGTGGAAAGAAGAATGCAGTGAGCCAAATTCCATTAAGAAAGAAAAGCTATGAGCACTATTGGCCTCCTAAGCAGTCTCCACGTTAACTTAAATCAGATTAAAGGGGAAAAATCATTTTACAGGGTCAGAAAGATTGCTTTAAGAGCATCTCTGAAGTAATTAACATTTTTTAGGCTCTGGCTTACTCTTCCTTTTCATTCTCAACTCTCCAATTATCCCGAGACCTAGTTCATCTATGTCATTGGAAAATGTGATGGTTTATGGAAGAATCTCCGTGCTTAAGTGGCTGAAAAATAAGGCTCATGAAGAAAAGCAAAAGGAATTGAATCTGTTTAACTTTAGGGAGAATAAATTGAGAAAGACTTAATATGGCTTACAGATAATTGAATTCTTTAATGCTGCAGAAAGTAAAGTTATTCTTCCATTTGAGGAAAAGAAATGTGTGCTAGAACATAATAGATTTAATTTAGGTGAAAGGAAAGCCTTGCTAATGCTGGAAGTTGTAACAGACAAGAAAAGATTATCAAGGGGAGTCACGAATATCTGCTGAGTTTCACACCCCTCCCTCAGGCAAATGTAGATCAGCACTGTCAAGTAGGAACATAGTGTGTGTCTTGTTTTTAAACTTTGTAAAAGTTGCCTTTTTTAAAAAAGTAAAAAGAAATAGGTAAAATCAATTTTAATAACCTATTTTAGTTAGCCTAATATATCTCAAACATTATTACTTCAATATGCAACCAGTAGTTTGCAATATTAATGAGGTATTTTGCATTCTCTTTTTTCATACCAAGTCTTTGTGTATTTTACATCTCAATTCCCACCACATTTCGGGGGCCATAGCCCTTTGTGGCTAATAGCTATAGTATGGAAACAGATTTGATCACAGAACTCCATGATTAAAACGTGTTTGTGTGTCTCTTTTCCAGAAGAGGACAAAAGAGAAGTTGGTGCACGTCCTTTCTCTGTGTGGCCAAGAAGTAGGATTAAGCAAAAATCCATCAGTAAGTTCCATCATATATCACATTTATGTTGGTACCATATCATTTTTACCTTTGATCTTTTTACCTTTAGAGAAGTCCTCTGTGAATTACAAGTATGATATCCACCATCATACTCATACTAGATCATACTCATAGGCTATTTCTTTCCACACTAAGATTTTTAATCTCCCTTAGTTCAGAAACAGTGAATGATTTTGTTAGCTATTTGCTCTAGTTTGTAAATAGCACTGTTACTTTCATTTTTTAAAATTCTTTGGATTTTGTTATAAATATGCCCAGACTACGTTAATATGTATATGTATATTAATTAAATATAAATAAAATATATAATTATATAATTATTTATTACATAGAATAAAATATAAAAATAAAAATATATATATGACGATCTCCTGCACCATATTTAATATACATTCTTTTGGGGTATAATTTTACTCTGCGTATGCACACCCCTTCCTATGATGTCATTATTTGACTCATGCAGAAGAGGGATCAAAATAATGATATATCATTATAGTTTTTTTCTCTCACATACATCCACTGATGTTACAGTTAAAACAACAACATGCCATTGCGCTTTGGAATAAATGAATAATCACAGTATTAGAACTTAGCTAATATAAAATTTAGCTTTTATAAAACTTAGCTAATTCAGGTTGTCTGTGAGACTATCATAGCAAAAGCAGTAAAAATCTCAGGGTCTGGTTTCACCGGCGTATCTCAGCCTCTTCATTATTAATAAAAAATAAATATCTAACTAATTTCCCAAATGAAGTAAGAATTAGCAAACAATTGCTCAGGGGAGCTGTCTCTGAAATCTCAAAATGTATCTATTGACGTAGTTCACGAGCAGGTGAAATGTTAGAGGCTCGTAAATACTTGATAAAGTGCAGATGGGTGTTTCTTACGGTCCGGAACGTGCCCCTGCCAGCCAGCAGCTAAGCTCAGCTTACGATCAGTAGATCAGTGGGTTTGTTGCTGCTCCTGAGACCTGAGGGCAGAGGGGACGAGGTGACAGTGGCGGGGTGGGAGGAGGGAGAGTGACAAGCGCCCTTTCCCTCTGCGGAGCGGCCCTCCAGCGAGGACCGAGGACCGTCTCCTATTGCCATTCTGGCTGGCGCGTCCTCCTCAGATCTCAACTGCCTGCTTCCGTGCTAGAAATGTTTACCCAGAGTATGTTGCCGGTCGGTCAGAGAGGCAGTGCTAACTGGGAAGAAGAGCCTTCAACCGAGGAAGCCTGCATTCTAGCCGCGTCTCTCACGAGCTAGTTGCCTGGCCTTCAGTGCTATTTCTCTCCTAGACCCACTTGCAATCCCTGAGCAAACTGTGTGTCGCGGGCCATTGCATGAGAACGTAGTGCAAGTCACAGGACTGTTCTTAAACACTGGAGGAAAGGGGGACATTTCAAATCCATTCATTCTTTTTACTTTTGAGAGGCACTTGTTATATTAAATAAATACAAACGATTTGCCTGCTTCTCAAGGAAGACATAGATAGACATTATGATGGCTAAAAAAAAATCATACCGTTCACTTTTATTTAATATCAGTCTATGTTCAGGAGAGACTGGATAGCAAAACATTGAGGTCCACTTACAGTTTATTTCTACAAAGTTCTACTAAAATGTCCCAGTGGGAAAAAAACTAAACACAGAAGATGGTTCTAAGATTATTAACATTCAAGAGGTCTTAATAGGAAAAAAAAAAAAAAGTTTTGTTCCGTTTATACCAACAGGAAGGGAATTTAGGTATAAATTACGAGCATGGCTGCTCACATACTCGTCTGTAATTCAAATGAACAAGGACTGTAGTATTTGTCCTCTGTGTCTTATTCTTTATTGGTTCCTGGTTTATCTCTGAAAGGGTTAAATGCTTTGTACTCACAGGCCATTCTATAATAATGTATCTTTGTATCAGTAGCCCTTAAAATATTATGTGATAATATACATGTGAAGTGTATGTGCATGTGTACAATTTCCGACCTCAGTTCAGAAACAGTGGAAAATTTCTTGGCTGCTCTAGTTTGTCTGTGAATATACACTCAGTTGTCACACACACACACACACATGCTCCGATGGGATCCAGTCTTCATTAAGAAGCAGCATCGTGACTCGAACCTTCTCCTCCTGTGTGAACTTGTGTCTTTGCAATGAGTTTAATCTGAAGGCACCTGTCCAACATAAATACTAAAAGAACATTCTAAAAATACCCACTTAAGGAATTAGGTGTGTACTCGAAATAGATGGCCACGAACAGCCAGTTGCAGTTTTTATAGCACAAACAACCGAAGGGAGAACCGTCTCTCAGGAGAGGACTCTTGCGATTCGTAGGTGATCTTTTCATCGTGTGGGGATCTGGACCTTCTGGAGCACCAGACGAGCTTGGTCTCTTCCGAGGACGGCGCCCGGGAGCAGGAGAACATGGATGACACAAACAGCGAGCAGCAGTTTAGAGTCTTTAGGGACTTCGATTTCCTAGATGTGGAGCTGGAGGATGGAGAGGTACAGTATCTTCTCTGTAAAAATACCCCCCTCAGCCTTGCCTTGACTAACGAAGTTTCTTTTTACCTGCTAACTGATCAGGTTTTATAACAGACTCTTTAACTGGGAAGCTGTAGACTTTGTTTTCAATCAACTTATCCAAAGGACAGCAGCTTGACTTTGGCAGAAGTTACCACACCCTTCCTGTCTGAGTCCACAGCATTTAAGCTGCCAAGTTCTTTCTAAATGGCAGGGATCTGACGTTTAATGACCACACAAAGACTGTGTGTGTGCAGTCCAAAGGTGAACTTTAAAAGAAAAAAAAAAAAAATCACAAACACATTCAGGTTCTGAGCCTATTCGCGGGCACCTGGGCAAAACTTGCCAAGAGTCTAATTATTTTAAAAGTGAAATTACTCTGATTCAGTTACTTCAAAGCTTGCCTGCTCCGACCTGAGAAGGGAGCCTCGGGGCTCCAGCATTGTTGTGCTGTTTGATGAAATCACAACTTGAAACAGGATGTAGTGCACCCGAGAGCTCTTTGCTCTGCTCTAGGCTGCTAGCTCGTGTCCCCGACACCTGGAGCCGCTGAATTCATGTCTCAACCGGCCAATGCAGATTTGTGGATTTGAATGATAATTATGGTGATAGGATGCTTTCAGTTATGAATCATGTGTTTGAAAACTGGGATTGGAAGGAGGGGCATCATTGTGACCCTCTCATTTCAGTAGCTTAGAGGCACGTTCCAGCTGGGGAAAGTCTCCGCCCCATGGAGGAAAACAAAACTGACCAAAGGGAGACTGGCTACCTAAAAATGCCTGATAAGGAGCCGCCTCCTGGTGTTACTTCACATCCTGAGGCTCACATTCAGCTAAATGCACTGTCTTTCCCAGACAAAGAAAGGGCTTTCTGCCAGTCTTACAGTTACAATGGAGGCCCAAATTCAAAGTTTAACCTATCCCGTGACTGGTATGCATCTCCTGACTCAGCTAGAAACTTGTGGGAAACGGTACTTCCGGTAGCTGCCTACCTTCCCTAAAAGGATGGGGCTGTGGACCAATCCTCTTATGTTGAGGTAAGGCCAAGGAGCTCTCCGCTTTTGTTCCTCCCGGCCAAGGCCTACCCTGGATGTCTGGGGAGAATTCTGTCCCCAGGATGAAGGATGTTTTCTCTTCCTCTTCTTTTCTGCAGAAAACAAGTTTAGCCTACCCAGCCGTTAAAGAATATAAAGACGCTAGCTGTAAAACACCTTTAAAGCAAGTGTCAGCTTTTCACCTTGAATTATCCTAGAACCACTAAAAAGTACTGCAGAGTTTTTCTACTGTTAACCTGAATAAGTGACAAAGAGGGGCGCCTGGGTGGCTCAGTCAGCTAAGCGTCCAACTTCGGCTCAGGTCATGATCTCACAGCTCGTGAGTTCAAGCCCTGCATCAGGCTCTGTGCTGACAGCTTAGAGCCTGGAACCTGCTTCAGATTCTATGTCTCTCTCTCTCTCTCTCTCTCTGCCCCTCCCCTGCTCATACTCTGTGTCTCTATCTCTCTCAAAAATAAACATTAAAAAAAAATTTTTTAATAAATAAGTGATAAATCAATCACTAAATGTGGTGAGGATTGTTTTAAAAAGTCTAAGCCAAAATACAACTGTTTAGAATACTTTCAAAACGTCTCTGAGCCAAAGCTATATGGGATGTCCGAAGATGAGCTCCCTGATCTGGACCACTGACCTAATTTTTGTTCTTGGCCTAGAATTCACGCTTAGGCACCCTCTTCACTCTGGAAGTTAAAGTAAGGAGGGAAATTTTGATGAAGCAAGAGAGGCATCATTTTCCAGTCTCAGCCAAAATTTAAAAAAAAAAAAAAAAAAATGTCTTATGGGACGTGACCTGGTAGGAGTAACATCAAGTGGAACAATCAGACACGGTTTCTGAACAAATTTAATTTCTGTCAAAATGAAGGAGAATATGAGGTGCCACTCACTTGAAAATAAATACTATACTAATGCTTTGGGGGACAGTTAATAATGAATGCTACATCTGACTTCTAGTATTCTGTTATTCTAGCAAACAAGAACTACAAAATCATAGTGATCATTTTCTCTTATATAATTAAGATTTTATAAGAAACTTGAGAACGTGGGGGCGCCTGGGTGGCTCAGTCAGTTAAACGTCCGACTCTTGATTTGGGCTCAGATCATGATCTCACCATTCATGAGCTCGAGCCCCGCCTTGGGCTCCATGCTGAGTGTGGAGCCTACTTGGGATTCTCTCTCTCTGCTCCTCTCCCACTCGCACACACTCTTTCTCTCAAAATAAATAAATAAAACTTAAAAAAGAAAGAAAGAAAGAAAGAAAGAAAGAAAGAAAGAAAGAAAGAAAGAAACTTAAGAGTGTGAAAGTATGTATTTCATCCAAATAAATTAAACCATCTGAGAATATTTCGCTATTTCTCAATAAGATTATAATAAGGGATTCTAGCAAGCATACAGGGTAGTACAGTAAAAATTCTCGAGCTTTAGGGTCAGGCAAGTCCAACTTTGAATTTCACCTCTGCCCCTGACTTAGCTCTTGGCTTCCTCAGCTATTAAGTGGGTATGATAATAGCCTGCCGAGTTGATGTGAGGATTAGGTAAGAACCTCTGGAAAGCTTCTAGCACAGTGCCAGGCACATAGTAGGCATTCCTTTGTACTGTCATTGTTGAATAATTCCAGCATATCCTCATCTGAGAAAGCCAAGCATATCTGGCATCTAGAGCAAAACACAATGATCAAAAAAAAAAAAAAAAACAAACTTTTTTTAGATCTGTCCCTTTTCATTAAATAGTCTCAGAATTTACTGACTCCTATCTGTAATGGTTTGCCTTTGAAATTTTTAGAATCTTTAGAAGGTGCCGTGTCCTTGCTATTAATTGCACATTAGCAGCGAACACACCAGGATGACAGACACTAGCCTCGTGAGATGGATCAGGTGATGCCACCTTTTTTTCTCCCAGTTGATGATCCTCATTCATTTCCCCACAACACTGAACAATTTGCTCACAAAGAAAAATTTAAGCATCCCCCCACCAAAAAAAAAGGGCGTTGAGGAGCACAAGGTGTCAGTCACTGAAGTGACAAGCTATTTCAGAAATCGTATTTATGATTTGTTACCCCAGATACATCATCCGTCCCTAAGAGGATTGGAATTGCTGGTGCTTGGTACTGATTTCTCTCTTTGGGGGTTTGTATATCTTCACCTTTTTTTTTTTTTAAGTTGCATCAAATGAAGTATATATCGTTGGCACTGTTTGTTGCTGTTGTGTTAAAACTAAGATAAATGCACTTGAGTATCTTTAATATTATCGTTTTAAATAGACCTCTTATTTGTTTTTCTGTCCATTCAATCCGCTACGAAGGAACTGCAGGTAAGATGATGCTATGTTTCATTCAGATCCGCTAAGTAGATGTTTTGCATCGTCGCAGATTTATAACAACATAATTGCTTTTCTTCCTCCCTTCTAGCGTATGTATGCCTATCTGCGCGCATATTTACATTGAGGTGTGCGTGAGACAAAAAGTGTTTTTCTTTGTGGCTCCAGGATGGGAATAGTTTCCAAACTATAAATACAAGACAATTTTAAAATCTAGTCTGGAAGTTGCATAGTTATATCTCTTGAGAGAAAGTGAGGTTTAAATAGGATCCATGGAAATCTTATGATGCCTGAGAAGGCAGCCGCACAACGGAATTCGTTGTGTAGTTACCTTCTCTAATTAAAGGTGAAGTCAACAAGCGGCATCCAACAGTATACCACGAACACTTCCAAGCAGATCTGCTTATTTTCCAGGAATTAGGAGCTGTCTTTGTATGGCAACTGTATAAAGTTTCATCCAGATGAGAACCATTTCTCAAAAGGGAGTCCTAATAATAATTGCACCCAGGAAACAGGCATAAGCCAGGACCGTCCTGGGCGTACTGACTTGTGATCACCCTACTATCCATTGCCATGTCAGACTTACTTTGAGTAGGCATATCTGGGCAAATATATTTTGACCACAGTGCACTTATGTCCCTTCACCAATAATTCTTACCTGACAGAGTTCTAGTGTGGAAAAAAAATTATTTCAAGGAATAGTGTTTCCAACATTTCTAGAATGTTCAGTCACTAGTACTTAGCTCAGTACAAATCCTGAGTGGTTAAGTTTGATAGCTGACATATGCAGATTGTCTTGAATAATTAGCCATCTCCTAAATTTTCTCACACATAGAAAAATCTGACATAATCAGTCAGACACTGTTTTGACCTTGTGGGTTGACTTTTAATCACCACACACCCTTGAGCTAGGTAATAGCACTCTTGCATCTCAGTTCTTCAGCCTCCACTGCGGTAACAGTTTCAACACCGTTCCCTCTAATGGAGAGCTATCGTATCCTCCAGAAAGACATCCCACTATTCTTCCTGCGACAGAAGCCTTCCCTTACAACCCCACTTCTCATGCCTGATCCAGCCGGGTCTTCACCAGAGGTGCAGTTATATCAGTATGAGCCATCATCCTTGCCCGGTGTAGCATTCCCTGCCCCTGGGCGTCCATGTTTCTCTGCAAGCTCATGGTTCTGTCTCGGGCTCAGTGCTGGAGACTTCCAGAATTGTCATCCAAGATAGTTCATCCAGCCGATCCACTGATTGGATGCACAAGAATCGGTGCTAGGATTTGTTTTCTATTCATATTTTGTGTATTTCTCCCAGTAATCTGCACAGTCTTTTTTCTCTGTACTCTTGTTCTTTCAATCTTTTTAACTTCTTCACACATTGTGATTTCTTTTTCTCTCCCGTATTCTTGCCTCTCCACATTTTTTATTTCATTTTTTCACTGAAACAGCTATTTTAAAATCCCTGCACAACAGTTAACCTTTTCCACTAGGAAAAAAAATTACTTGGTGACAATTTATCACAGCAGATACAGATAAAGGTATAGATACAGATAAGACAGCAGATATAGGTACAGAATATGGAAATCATATTCAACGTCTCCTTTTTATAACCAGACGGTCCTAAGAACAATCATAAACATCACGCATGGGGATCAATAATGATAATAATTTCTGTATCATATCCAGAATGTGCTCAGGATCATTACCTGTTGCCTTCCACCATGAATAGCCAAAACAGACTTTGGAAAAGCTAAGCATCTGTTCTGTGAGAGATCTATGAGAATGGCAAGGTGTGCTTCATTCAGATCCAGGAGAAATAGATCCTTAAACCAGAGGAAGATTAGTAAATTTAATGATCCTAATTTTTTTTTTAATTTTTTTTTTCAACGTTTATTTATTTTTGGGACAGAGAGAGACAGAGCATGAACGGGGGAGGGGCAGAGAGAGAGGGAGACACAGAATCGGAAACAGGCTCCAGGCTCTGAGCCATCAGCCCAGAGCCTGACGCGGGGCTCGAACTCACGGACCGCGAGATCGTGACCTGGCTGAAGTCGGACGCTTAACCGACTGCGCCACCCAGGCGCCCCTAATGATCCTAATTTTAACAGTAATTTGCCTCTCTCATATTATACGGTTACGCTAGTCACTGAGCTCTCACCGGAAAAAGTTGTTTTATTTCAGTGACCCATCAGACAGTGTTTCACATGACCAATAAATGAAAGGATTCTGGGCTAGATTTTGTTTAGATTCCCTGTTCGTGTAGGTTAAAACTCGCTTATCAAGGGGCTGCGTACTATTTCCCTTGCTTTATTCCTGTTTTAACACAGAGAAAAATAAAACCCCAGTTCCTTTCTAGGAAAAGATTTTGTGTGGACAAAGATACTTAATATCAGATGGGTAGCAGAGCAAGTCTGAGATACAACTAGAAGCTTGAACACTTGGATTGCCACTTAGCATGGTTGTCAGTAAATTAAAAGGTACAAGTCAGCAATAGTGCTTGGGACCAAGTCAGTCATTTCAGGAAAGCAACTCATTTCCACGTTGGGACAATTACTTAAAGATGAGCCTAAAGCAAAAGTCAAGCCACACTGCTCTGGCCTCTGCATAGTGCATGATCCGTCAGACTTCGCCCAGCTGCTCTCAGATGTTCTTTTAACTCTGCATTTGATCTGCAAAAACCGCTGTAGCAGGAACAGGCTGGAATGTTTACCTAATGAATGCTCTTCTACTTAATACCCAAGGGATGTGGAATGTGCTACAGCATAGCTCCTACTTTTTCTCCTTCTGAAAATAGTACTAAACGGGCCGGGGAGGGGGGCACACCTCTTTGGAGATTGTTTTAATATTAATGGTCTCTTTCTTACAGCTTTTTGGAAACGCAGGTCATTATAGGGTTTACCAAAGTCACAGTTTAAAAAATATAATACTACCCACCACGCCATGGAGAAGCGTGCAGTGCTTCTCCCTGCGAGTTAATACGCATCTAGGTGAAAACAGTATGCTTTCACTACCTTCCACATCATGTGAACACATTGGTTGCTACCAAGGTAGACGAGAGCTTGAGAGTTTGTCATGAAAACATTTGTTTCTAAGCTATGATTATGACTTAACTGGATGTGTGAAGGTGTTAAGTGCAGGAAGATCCTGGCATAAAAACCAGCTGCTGGTATGATTTCAGGGTGAGAGTATGGACAATTTCAACTGGGGAGTGCGCAGGCGTTCTCTGGATAGCTTGGACAAGTGTGACAGGCAGCTTCTGGAGGAGAACCCACTTGCAGGAAGGTCTCCCAGCCTCAACAAAATGAACCGTGAGGATTCTGACGAGTCCTCCGAAGAGGAGGACCTCACAACCAGCCAGATCCTGGAGCATTCAGACCTAGTAAGTAGAAACCTTCCCACCATAGGAGACGGGAGACTATGTTCGTAACTGAAGCAGTAAGCATGGTTTCCAGTCGCTGCTAAAGAAACTTTCCACCGCTGCTAAACCCAAATCCAAAACGTCGGGTGGCGTCCAACCGATTGTAACGTGCCTCTTGCCTCTAGGTTGCCAATTAGAGACACAACTGATGGGGCATTTGTTATAAGCCCTCGATGGCATGGAGTCTGTTCAGGCCTGGACTTTCCTCAAATAACTTTTATGAGGCTGGAACCTTTTTAAAAATTCCTGAGACATCTGAAGTCTTAGGCAGTCTAACAGTGAGACGTTTGGATGTGGTTATCTGCAGATACGAGTGTTCATGTTTTCCAGTTCTGGGCCATCGTTTGCTCTGCCAGCTGCCGTGTGTCAGTTCTAACGGTAGCGAAATACGTACGCTAAATGATACCCGTCAGCCAACAACCGGCTCAGGCAGTGGTTTGTACTCTTACGTAGAGAATAATTCGAGCTTTTAGAGAAACTTCACTCTGTCTTTTACCTGCTCCACTTTCTCAACAGATCATGACTCGTTCCCCTTCCGAGGAGACGAATCCCCTGGAATCGCTCGCCGCGGCCTGTGACATGACCCCTGCCGACCCTCATTCCTTTAGCACCAGAATGGCTAGCTTTGACGCGGCTCTGTCTGACATGAATAATCTGCAGATCTCTGAGGGCTCCAAGGTGAAGAGATTTGGGCAATTATGATGGCAATTTACTTAAAGAAAAAGTACCTCCAAATTGCTGAGAAATCTTGGGGGGCTATAAGTGGAGAGACTGCCTTTATCTTTTTCTTTCTTGCTTTTCTGAAATACTTGAGTTTGCGCACCTGAGCCTCTGTTTTGAAGCGGTTTCCCTCTCGCAAATGAGCAGCCACCTTCTTGTTGGATGAAAGAGATTCAATCTGAGGTCCTTTTCAGACGGAACACTTGGCATTTCCCATACAGCAGGAACGCTGCTGATTAATGGCAAAACAAATCGGCATATGTCTGAGATGGCTGTGACTTGGAACCTGTTGTTCTTTTTCATGACTTTTATAAAACAATATGCTAAGTGAGGAGTGGGCGTATGCATGTATTTGGGGAAATTTTTTCCTATGTAGGAACCAGCTATACAATCCGTGCATTGATTCCATTCTGGCCTTTTGGCATACTATTGGAATTTTCAGTGTTGATCACAATATTATGCCAGCTTTGCACAAAACCGTCCTAGCCAGACTGAGGAGAGAAGTAAGGAACGGATACAGTTTTCTTATTTAAAAGGTCAGGTCTTTAAAAAGCTAACAATGTACGTTCCATTTAAAGTTGATTTTATCAAATTTCCCTACAATATCATCACCATAAAACTACCCACTCCCACACTGGGTTCACATAAGTGCCCACATTTATGCCCGTCAGTATAGAATTTTATTCTCTTATACTGGAAATACCAAAATAACTTCCTACTGTTGTTAAGAGAAAACTTCCTTCTCCTGAGTTTGGCAGTGCAAGTTTGAAGGAGAAAACTATAAAAACAATTTTTAAGATATATAAAAGTATATTCTTTCTGATACTTCTAGTGGGAGAAACTATAATGCTGGCTGTTGTATGTTCTTTTATAGTGGACTTAAAACAGATTGAGACCGAGGGAAATCTATGTCCTTCAAACCAAGGACAACCACCCAAATTGCAATCACTTAAAAATATTGAAGATTAAAGAATGATTTCTAAGAGAGCCTCACTGCCAAAGGGGTATAGTCAAATTCTTAGAGTCAGTGGAGTCCTTTTTTAGCCAAAAAAAGGCCCAGAAAGGAAAGTTGTCTGAGATTAAAATTCCAGAATCCTAAGATTAGTAGATTTCATGAAAAGGACACCCCAAAATGAATGTGAAGTTACTAGTGTTTGTTATTCCTCAGTCCTAGAATAGTCATTTTCTCCATTTTTTCTAGTCTGAATGCTAAATTACATAGATTTCTCCTAGAAAGCACTACCTAGGTGGTAATATATTTATGGACTCACACAGAAGTCATCTCATTCTGTCAAGGAAAAGTTAAGTCTAATTTCTGAAAGGCTGTCTCTGTTTTCCCCCACGAGCTGGGTTTCTGCAGGGTGTAATACAGCCGTGATGTTAGAAAAAGAAAAGAAAAGAGATTTTTGTAAGAATTCAGCCCTCCCCTAATAGATTAAGTTTATGTGCACTAATAACCCAGACCAGTCACCGGCAGTCAGTCTCGGTGGCACCACCGTAGTTTTTAAAAAGCAGGAAAAAGCAGATATGGATAAGCCTCTGAAACTCTGCATTTATGAGCAATTCCTTCAAAGACATGAGCTATCTTGTTTCCCTACCATATCTTTAAACACTCCTCTTAATTTCCCTATTAATCCTAGATTCAGAATACTAACTGGGTGGCCGGATAGCAACCTGTGATAATGCTCTAATTCATATATATTTCTCTTTCGCCTTGCTTTTTGTTTTGTTTTGTTTTGCTTTGTTTTGTTTTGTTTTTTAAGAAAATGACTCACTGAACTGTGTGCGTGTGATGCCTTCTTTTCCTCTTCTGGTCTGTAACCCAGTTGCCTTCCTTCCTCTCATAAAGAACAGTCAGTTCTCCGGCTGACTCCCCCTGGCCCACATTCAAACCCAGCCTCTTTTTCCATTCTACTTGCTCTGTCTCTCTCCTGCCCCTCATTGATCCCAGTTCTGCCTGACCTAGAGCCCTTTCATTTCGCTGCTCAGTCTACATTTGACAGCGGGGTGAGAGGAGCCTCTTCCATCCATGGTCTCCAGGGGGTATCCCTAAGAGCACAGAATGTATGTAAATGGGTCTTAGAGGATTTCCAGTATGGAAAGACCTGTGAACGGGGCAGGCTCAGTGAACAACTATGGATCACTCATGCACCCTGCAGGTATTTCTTGAGCATTTACTATACTGGTCCCTGGTGATTCTAAATTCCAGTTGCCATAGGTAAAGGAATTCTGTATCAGAGAATTCCCTCTGGATAGGCTTGCTTTGGAAGGTGAGGGTTGTACAGTGCAAAGAGCAAGTCCGATCGCTCTGATTATCTCCTTGATGTCAGGCAAGTCCCTTTCCCACACATGAGTTGTCTATAAAATGTGAGGGGTCTCTGTATTTAGCATTTATATGCCCCCGTAATGACGGGTCAAATGTGGCCATCTACTGAGAACCTCCTTGCAAACTATTGCGGACGAGAATGAAAAGAAGGTAAAGAATTAACAGGACTCCGGAGAATGCCCGAGTCCAGTTGTAGAAACTCACTGTATTGTAGCTGGGAAATAAGTGCCCCCAATTTCTATCACTCTCAGGATTTGTCACCTTTATTTTTTCCTTCAGTGGAATAGATTTTCCCAAATATATTCTCACATGGCGGGGGGATCCTTCCCTCTTTTTCTTCTTCCAGGCTGAAGCTGTCCAGGAGGAGGAGGACACCGCCGTGCACGAGGACGATCTTTCCAGTTCTGTTAACGAACTCCAGGCAACTTTCGAATGCAGTGGTAGCTTTAGCCTGGATATGACTGAGGCAGAAGAAAAGGGCAGTCGAGCACTGGACCAGTTTACTCTTGCAAGGTAAAGAAGCCCCTGGTGGACACGAGCGGTGATGGTGTACCTGGCACTTTGCCTTGTATTCACTGTAGCTCAAGTGAGGTCACGTGGGCGCTGCTGGGACTCCCTAATGAGGAGTCCAAATTGGCTTCTGACTCAGAGGGCTCTCGGCTGGTCAGAGCCGTGCAACCGAGTGTGGAACTGAAAAGGGTACTCATGCACAGGGACTCATAAAGCCATTGAGTAACGTAGAATAACAGAGTAACATAAAGCCATGGCGTAACTCAAAAGCCAAAAAGGGGTCTGGGGACATGGTCCGGGTTTTGCACGCTTTGAAGATAAGCAAGACTGGCAAGCCTTGGAAATGAGGAGTTCTTTCCATTTCGAGTTTAAAGACAAGAACAAGAAGCTCTTTATAAGTTAAATACCTACTCTTTTTTAAGTGGGTGGCTTTCAGCCTAGTCACTGGTGTTTCTGAGACTAGTGAGCTGTAGTCAGAGAACACGAATGGACAAAAATAGAGAGGAATAGATAAAACACTAATGCAGCATCTAGAATAAATAACAAGTGATAAAGGCTACAGATTGGCTTCTGGAAAAGAAAGTCAGAATCCTAAAATCTCTCTTCTGAATGTGGACAAGAACGAAACAGGTTTGATTACGGCTGGACAGAGACCTTCTGTTATGGTGAGCAGTATCTGGTCTTTGAAGGGCAAGCTGATGGTGATAATACCCACAGAAGAATCTGACCTTTCACTTGTGTTTATTATCTTCCCTTTCCTCGTCCCTCTCGGCCTCTCTCACCCTGCGTTCCTCTTCTTGAATTTTCCCTTTGTCCCTTCTCCCTCTCCTCCTGGGCATTCATGCATGTGCAGCCATTAATACTCTCCCCCACAAAGGAAAAGTTAAAAGATTCAAAATGTTTGTTATAATGGTTCATAATGGAAAATGAAAAGGATCAAAAGTGCCAAAGCATGGCAAGTAGTGTTTATGTGTCTGGGGAATGGCCACTGGGAGGGACAGTTGCTGGAGGCTCCAAGAGGTCAGGGGGAGCCTAGGTGTCTCAGTCGGTTAAGCATCTGGCCCTCGATTTCAGGTCAGGTCATGATCCCATGTTTCATGAGATGGAGCCCCGCATTGGGCTCTGTGCTGACAGCATGGAGCCTGCTTGGGATTCTCTCTCTCTCTCTCTCTCTCTCTCTCTCTCTCTGCCCCTCATCCCTCGTGCACACTTGCACTCTCTCTGGCTCTCTCGCTCACTCGCTCTCTCTCAATAAATGTGTAGAAAACTTAGAAAAAAAAAAAAGGAGGTCAGAAAGGGAGAGATCATAGAAATTCTAGAGAGGAAAGGTCTCTCTCCTCCAAGCAGAAGAGAACGTTGAAGGGCTGTGAAGGAGAGCTGAGTCCCTACAGCAACCTCAAAGGGAGGAGGGGACAGAACAGCTGACAGGCTTAGAATTTACACAGCCCGGTGAAGGTTGAGGACGTCACTCCTTGACCAGGTTGTTTTCATCTTTCGCAGCTTTGGAGAAGGTGACAGGGGGGTCTCTCCCCCTCCCTCGCCCTTCTTCTCGGCCATCCTTGCTGCGTTTCAGCCCGCGGCCTGTGACGATGCAGAGGAAGCCTGGCGCAGCCACATCAACCAGCTCATGTGCGACTCAGATGGCTCCTGTGCTGTGTATACATTTCATGTGTTCTCCTCCTTGTTTAAGGTACGGTCCTCACTAGCAATTCAGACGACTAGGTCTCTTAGGGGAAGCCAGCTAGCTTCCGGTTTCAGAAGGGGTGCTTGTTTCATTCTGGGTTCGCATTATTTTCTCCTCCAGATACCCCCCAGTTGCCTGTGACGTCAGCCTCTCTTCTGTTTAACCGTAATCTGCTCAACCTTCTTAAACTGGTATCGCAAAGGCCTTGCCCCCAAATGATTGAGTCCACACGCTGTCCTGTTCGCTTTTGCCATGCTGGCTTGTCTTGATCGTGATCCCAGGCAACCGTGACATGATGTCAGAACCAGAGAGTGGTATCATCTGCTGAGCCTATCCTGCACTCTTCTTAGACCCCTTCTGTACCTCTCTTTTTTCTTTACTGTTCATGTTTATCTTTTTCTTGTGTTTTATCTCTTTCCCGGCATGAATTCCTTAAACATGTCAGCCGTAGCTATGAACACTTGCTTCTCCTCAGAGATGCTTCTGGACACATGAACAGTCATACTTTGCGTCTCCTGGGTGAGCCACAGCCTGGCGAGTCCAGATGGTGTCTTTGTGCAAATTGGAAACGGATGTCCCTTCCTCCAGAGCATTGCAGCACAGGGTGTGGCCAGCAGAGGGCAGGCTGGATCTCTATCCCTCCGCCAGGCACCTGTGGCATCTTGCACACAACTCAACGTAGCAGCCTCTGTGTGGACACCTTCAGATTTCAGCTATTATCCCCAAACACACTTACAACATCTGAACCAAAGAGGTGGAGGGAACTTGACTTCTGATGGGTGACCGAAGGTTTATTTTTATGCCTGCCTGTCTGTTGGTGTGCAAATACCTGTCGGTTCCTCTGTGCATCTTGCTCTGAACTTTTGCTCTCTAAATTTCATCAAACGGTTGGTGGAGGTGGGAGGGGCATCAATAGAAGAGAAAGATGGCCTGTTTTGAAGCAACCCCGAAGGTCTGCTGTCATCGCTGGAATTAACTAGCCCTGTGTGCTGTATTTGAGGCTGATCCTGTCTGGGAAAGTGGCATGGCTGGAAGTAATGCTTAGCCATGAAGATGAGGCTATGGGTGAAGATTTGTATGGTTACCATACAGTGTAGGAGAAAACTGGTTTTAAAAAGCCAGTATGGGGGCGCCTGGGTGGTGCAGTCGGTTGAGCGTCCGACTTCAGCCAGGTCACGATCTCACGGTCCGTGAGTTCCAGCCCCGCGTCGGGCTCTGGGCTGATGGCTCGGAGCCTGGAGCCTGTTTCCGATTCTGTGTCTCCCTCTCTCTCTGCTCCTCCCCCGTTCATGCTCTGTCTCTCTCTGTCCCAAAAATAAATAAAACGTTGAAAAAAAAATTTTTTTAAAGCCAGTATGTATGGTAGGATTTTTTTTAATTTTTTTAAGCTTTATTTCTGAGAGAGAGAGACAGACAGACAGACAGAGCATGAGTGGTGGAGGAACAGAGAGAGAGGGAGACACAGAATCCGAAGCAGGCTCCAGGCTCTGAGCTGTCAGCACAGAGCCCGTCACGGGGCTTGAACTCACGAACCATGAGGTCATGACCTGTGCCCTACTTGGGCATTTAACCAACTGAGCCCCCCAGGTGCCCCCCTTTTTTTAAAAATTTTTTAAGCTTTATTTCTGAGGGGGGGGTACTATTTTTTTAATGTCTAGAAAATAGTGAAGATTATACACTAGCATTTCACTGTAGTTTACTCAGGGTGATGAGATTATGGGTGTATTTCTCCCTGCTGCTTTTTACTTTCTTTAGAGCTCCTATTTTCCACTAATGAAAATGCCTTTCTGTCAGCATTTTTTTCTAAACTTGTATTTGATCACTCACAAAGCAGAGTTGCCACTAATAATGCAGGGGAAATGTGAAAAGGGACTTACGTAGTAGTAACAACTTTCGGTAGACGTGAGTAATGGGGGAGTGACCAGCCAGACAAGGTAGAACCCTCTTATAGGTTGGGCTCTATAGAGTAGATCAGGAAAGAGGAACAGTCACTTGGCTGGACTGAGGGATGGGCCCACTAATCACCTTCAGGAAGAGCCACGGCAGAAGGGAAAGGCAGGAAAATAAGGAATTCTATTAAAAGTGCAAAATGAACCACATCTTCTTTATCCATGTGGTTTATACATACAATGGAATACTACTTGGCACTGAGAAAGAATGAAATCCTGCCCTTTGCAGCAATGTGGATGGAACTGGAAGGTATGATGCTGAGTGAAATAAGTCAGTCAGAGAAGGACAGATACCATGTGTTTTCACTCTTATGTGGATCTTGAGAAACTTAACAGAAGACCATGGGGGGGAAGGGCAGGGGAAAAAATAGTTACAAAAAGAGAGGGAGGGAGGAAAACCACAAGAGACTCTCAAACACAGAGAATAAATAAATAAATAAAATGTAAGAAAAGAGAACAAACTGAGGGTTGATGGGGGAGAGGAGAAGAATGGGTGCTGGGCACTGAGGAGGGCACTTGTTGGGATGAGCACTGGGTGACGTATGTAAGCAAGGAACCATGGGAATCCATCCCAAAAACCCAGAGCACACTTTACACACCGTATGTTAGACACTTTGACAATAAATTATATTTAAAACATAAAATAAAATTAACTTAAAAATAAATTTCAGGGGCGCCTGGGTGGCGCAGTCGGTTAAGCGTCCGACTTCAGCCAGGTCACGATCTCGCGGTCCGGGAGTTCGAGCCCCGCGTCGGGCTCTGGGCTGATGGCTCAGAGCCTGGAGCCTGTTTCCGATTCTGTGTCTCCCTCTCTCTCTGCCCCTCCCCCGTTCATGCTCTGTCTCTCTCTGTCCCAAAAATAAATAAACGTTGAAAAAAAAAATTAAAAAATAAATAAATAAATAAAATAAAAAATACACAGGGTCACACCCACAAAACCGCTCCATCAGAGAATCTAGGACAGGATCTAGAAATTGCACTTAAAAAAAAAAAAAAAAGAAAGAGGGGTGCCTGGGTGGCTCAGTCGGTTAAGCGTCCGACTTCAGCCAGGTCACGATCTCGCGGTCCGTGAGTTCGAGCCCCGCGTCGGGCTCTGGGCTGGCGGCTCGGAGCCTGGAGCCTGTTTCCGATTCTGTGTCTCCCTCTCTCTCTGCCCCTCCCCCGTTCATGCTCTGTCTCTCTCTGTCCCAAAAATAAATAAATGTTGAAAAAAAAATTTTTTTTAAATAATAATAAAAATAAATAAATTTTAAAAACAAAGGACCACCTGCCTCAAAGATTTCAAATTCAGGAAGCCACTATTTACTATTTAATTAGTATAAAAAGTAAAGTCTGTTTTTGAGCCTGGTGGCCCTTCTTATGACCCATTTTTGGAGAATTACATACCAATAGTACTAACAGCTACACTTTCTCATTTTGAGTGTTATTGTGCTGCTCTCTCCCCAGTTTTCAGTTTCCTTTTAGTGAAATCTTTTAGAAAGCTGCCTGGACAAAACGAGGGTTGTGTCTGAGATTCACCGGGAGCTGGAGGGGCTGTTAGGCTTAAGACAGGAAAAACAGGCTGCTGAGAGATAGGAATTCCAGAAACACTCTTAACACTGAGCTGATTGAAATTCTAACACAAACTATGAGAAAGTTACCATTTGAGGTAAATTTACTTGTTAAGGATTTAGAAGCAAAGTAGTTTATTTTTTATATTGTTCTAAAGCCTGTTTTAAAATAATGGTTACTGGGCAATAATTTATGTTTGGCTGTTGTAGTCATTTTTTCTCATTATAGTCACTAGCTATTTGTGCCCCATTTCCTAGTCACAAACAATACTTTTCCCGCTGCCCAGCAAGGCCATTTCCTCTTGGCCCTCTACTGTACTCTCAGTTACATGCAGACCCCTGATTGGAGCTCGCTTCAGCAAATGAAGCCTTCCCTTCCTTCTTTCTCCCTCCCCATCACCTGGGGTCCCGAGCACATCGTGGTTACATCTGTCACGCTTGTCACACTCTATCAGAATTCCTTATTGCCTGTCTCCCACAGAGTGGGCGAGTAATGGTGTCTGATTTTGATTGCCCAGCAGCTGGCACCATTGCTAACACACAATAGGTGCTCAGTAAATGTAAGAAGCATGAATAGGAATCTTTTTTTAGTGGAAATCTTAAACAGATGGTTTCTGATTCCATGCCAGTAGACCAGAAGGTTGAAACACGAGCTGGGAGGTGGGGTGGACCCTTGGCTTGAGGGGCACTTTGAGGTTTGGACTTTATTTTTCCATCCGTGCATTAGGTAAATCCCTATGGACCTTATCTGCAATAATAGTCATACAAATGTGTACCTCTTTTTTGAGTTTTTGATACACATTTAGCCTTAAGAACTTTCTCAACTATCATCAAATGCTATGTGATTGAGAACAATACTAATAACACAACAGGTATTAAATAAAATATGCTGGGAATGAAATACATTTTGGACATGCCGTCTACGAAGCTGTTGGCCAGTCCTCACCATGTCTGTTTATTCTTTTCCAGCATTTTCCTTTGAGTCTGAAGGCCACATTTCCCTGTATTTAGTTGGATTTGGGAGGGGATGGAGAGGAGGTAATTGCCAAAATGATTTGGTTTTAAAAACAAGGAATTGATTTCTAATGGTCCAGCGTGGACATCTTCCCAAGTGTCTCAGTCACTATACATCCTCCCTGCCGCTCCTGTGTTAATGTCGTCATTGTGTCACACAGTGCCACCAAATTATACAGTGTGTTTATATGGAAGTTAGGTGAGGACACGACTGAGTGTCTATCCCCTAAATACCACCTGCCTTTATAAGAGGCTCTAAAGCTCCCTGACAGGTTCACAGACCTCACCTTATCCTTAGGTAAAATGGAAAGAACCCCAAACTCTTTGGGGGCCTGAGTCCTACTCCCAGCTCTGCCATTCAACTAGATGTGTGATGCTACACGTGGCACTTGTCCTTCGTCTCTGCTCTGACGTTCAGTCGGGTTTTTTAGTTTTTCTAACTGCACATAAAACTAAGTCAAATATGTATGCTACACATTATACCAAGGTTCTCATATATGTTAAATAAAAAATAATGAATATGCAGCATGGTTGGCACTTTTCTAATGTAAATCATAAAGAACCAGCCTGCTGTTGTTGTAGGGACGTTCTACTTTGCTCACAACAGGGCAGAGAGGATTTCTCCCGGACTAGATTCCACAACTCAAAAGGCACGACATCTCTTTGAGTTTGAAAGCCAGTGCCTAGGACTGAAGTTATTTTTTGGTTCAACATTGTGTTCTTTTTGTTAAAGATACTGTGTGTTGGAAGTTTGGGGGCTAAACAATGTTCCCATTTTGTCACCGACACAGGCACAGTGAATCACATTCTTCCTGATTCCAGTTGTGCCTCAGGCTGTACAGGAGGACCTACCTCCTAGGAAGCATCATAGATTTGTGGAAGGAATGTGAGCGCTGGGGTCAGGCTCACCCTTCCTCTGTCACTTACTGGCTGTATGACCTTAGGCAAGTCGTGTCTTAACCTGGACTTCCTCGCCTGATTGTGAGGGTTAATGAGCCACTGTATGCAACCCTGTAAGACACGGTTATGGACATCTTGCCAGACACACCCTCAGAGGGAGATACTATTCCGGACCCGTGTAGCATTTACTTTCATTTGCCAGAGGTTCAAATGGCACTGTTTTGGTGCTCTCTCTCAAGAAGCTGTGATCTCGGGGAACAGGAAAGGGTTACGTCGCATGGCCCTTTCTGTCTTGCGCACGTTGACGTAACCTCAGGAGCTTCTCGCTGATCTGACAGACAAGCGAGGTGGACTCAAACTGCTGACCAGCTCTGACCATCAGCAAAAAGAAAAGTGCAATTTATTTAAAAGATTATGTAAACATCACCCTCTCGGAACCACTTTAAGAAGAAACTTTGCCCACACTGGGTGGTCACCTACTTGACTTGAGACCAACACTCACTCTACTCCCCATCTCCCCCGCCTCTACCTGAGGACCTGTGCTCATTTGACATTTTCATAAAGATTTAAAAGGAGTTTTTTGCTGGTATAAGTTAAAACGCGGCTTTTATAAATGGTCATTGTTTTGCCTTTCAGAATATTCAGAAAAGGTTCTGCTTCCTAACCTGTGATGCTGCCAGTTACCTTGGAGACAATCTGCGGGGAATCGGGTCCAAGTTTGTCAGCTCTTCTCAGATGCTCACCTCCTGCTCTGAATGCCCTACACTCTTTGTGGACGCTGAGACTGTGAGTACCCAGTTCTGCTGTGGTGGCAAATGGCGGGCCCAGCTTAGGGTGTGAAACATACAGGAGGCGTGCTAGTGTTGTGGTTTGTTTGAAAGACACTCAGTGTTTGTGAGCAGCACCGTGTTGTGACACGACCCCCAAAGGCCGGAGTCTGCCTGGTAATGACTCTACATTGCCAGCCAAAGCCAAGTCATTTCAGGGAATTGGGAGAAAAATCCACGTTGGTGCTCCCTCCGTGTCCTTGGCACCTGTCTCCAGTATCTCTGGATTTGACCGCTGGGAACGTGATGAGCGGACCCCCAGAGCTGACCTAGCCCATCCCCACAATGCCAAGTTGTCCAGCCAGATGGGTCTCCAGAGGCAACATGTCCTCATTTTCCTTGCTCCCAAGTGTCAAGTGGAGAGAGATTGCCCCCTGGAGGGATTCATCCAGCCCAAGCTGCAAGTGATGAAGTTGAGGGTTAAGTAAAGCATCCTCTGGCTGACTGCTAAATCATGACTTTACATATAAGTCTAAGCCTGCACGAGTGGTGAGCTCTTTGGGGTGTGTGTCACCTTTCTGTATATCCTCCATGCATCTCACACTGATGTCTTATATGCTGAGTAACGAACTAATAAGGTTTAGAACCAATGAGGATGTGCTTTGATTTCAAAAGTCTCTGAAGAATTAGTCTCTCCAAGGACTCAGTGGTCGGAATACAATAGGAGAGATCATTCTGTCTTAAATGATTTAAAGCAAAGATTAACTATAAAATCAGTTCAAAAGTCTATTTGGAGATGTGTCTTCCCACTACTTGGAGTATTGCTGGACGAAGATATCAGAGTTTGTGCATCAAATGAGTGCATCTTAATGTGGGCTCCTACGGAATACGTGGTAAGGCTTGAGTGTCTATACTGATATGGAGAAAACCGGATATTTTTGTAGGAGATTTGCATTAGCGAGCCAGTATTCAATTACAATTGCAGGTGATAGTGGAACAGAATTACACATTGCACAGCTTACTAAAAATGGACCCACTGGTCCCTACTTTACATTATTTCTAAATATATTTCTCTTTTGTATCTGACACAGCCATGCCTGTGTCTGGTTCTCTCTCTAGTTGTGTTAATACAAATTATTTTCCTGCCTTCAGCTCCTTTCTTGTGGACTTCTGGACAAGCTCAAGTTCAGCGTTTTAGAACTGCAAGAATATTTGGACACCTACAACAACAGAAAAGAGGCCACTCTCTCGGTAAGCTTTTGTGTCTCTGTGCATATGCTTTCAGTTAAAATCAAACGAACCCACGTATGGGCCCTGGGAAGGTGTTGTGATTAATATAGGATAGGATCTTTGGGAGAAGAAAACGTCATCCATTCCTCTGTTAGCAAGACTACAGTTCCAATGTAATACTGGTAGAACTGTTAACAGTATGTATTAGGCAAAAATGACACTACAAAAGAGAAATTATCAGCTTTCATTTTAGCTCCATAATTTCCCTCCTTGGAAACGGAAACATGGGTATCTGCTCAATGTCTCCTTGTCAATGTGATTAACTTTTCTCAGAGATGTAAAATTGTTAATTACTTCCTCCCGGTGTTTGCCTCTCCTGAAACTCACTGGGGTAGATCTCTGCTCTCCCCTCCTCTTAACTGCTCTTGGTAGCTGTCTCTCCCTGACTCCATTGCTTCTCTTGGCCTCGACTCCAGCTCTTTACTCTTTCCTTCACTGATCTAGACTGTAAAATGTTAGGAACAGAAGTGATCCAGAAACCTCCATCAGACATGCGGACCCCCTGATTTCTGCCAAGCAATTGTGTGTAGTGACTGTGGGACGCTTCTTATAATATGCCAGGCACAACAGGAAAGGCATGGATTTTGAAATCAGGTGGACGTGGGTTCAAATCACAGATCAGCTACCTAAGGGTTAGTGACCTGGGATAAATTACTTACCTCCTCATCTCAGATTCATCATCTGTAAGACAGTGATAACAATTGATTTGCAGAATTGTTGTAAGGGTATAACAATCGTAATAGTTGTAGCACCTATCATCTCCTGAGTCCCTTCTACGTGTCCAACTACCTGATAAGAGTTAAAGTTCTTAAATTAAATCATGTAATACTCATAACTACCCTGGGAGTTGCTATGATTATCCTCAGTAGCTCAGAGGTAGAAAATCAGTTTTGAAACCCAGGTCTATGGGATTCCAAAGTCCATGCCCTCAAACACAACACAATGTTTATTGCCTTTTAAATAGAAATAACATATGTAAACTGCCTAGCACAGTGCCTCATACATAGAAGATATTCATCACAAAGTCACGTGTTTTATGTTTGTTGCTCTTGTTATTAATCTTTTCACGATCTGTCCAAGGGCAAGAGTTCTAACGCTCTGCAATAACAATTCCCATTGTCTTTTACTCCTGTGGCTCCTTAATGGTCATTGTTTCCCATTTTCTCCATCATCAGTTAATAAAAGTAATCCTTCCATCCTTCTTGGTAAACAAACCAGTCTTTTGATGTCAGATGCAAGTTTCAATTCTTCAGTCCTTATTGTTTTGTGTCCAGAGGTTCCTTCTCACATCTGTATTGGTTACCATCCCAGGTACTTAAGGCTGGTAGCATCTCTAAATAGCGGAGCTATTACTATAATAGCCTTTCTTACATTGAAGCAGACCTGCCCCCAGAGAAGCCACCCAACGTAACAGAGAGGTAGGTGGGTCATGAGTCAGGTTTCATGGTCCAGTACCACCCATCCTGTGAGGAAGTATTGGTTTTTATCTCCAAATCTCAATCATATGAAAGGTTTCTAACTGTATATGATTTTTTCAAAATGATACACAAACTAGGAGTGGTCCGATGAAACCATTCTCCAGGAACGATGTACCACAATGTTCAAATTATATTTTTAAGTGAGCTCACTGAACCCATATGAACAGATATTTTAATCTCAAATAGTTCATCTTCAACCAGAAAAAAATACTTTCAAAAAGTTATTGCAGCAAAATTTTATTTTACCATGATTAGAAGCTTAGTTGATTTTCCCTGTCAGGAGTGATGACAAAAATGTTTTCAGGGCATCACTGATTTTACCTCTGTCTGCATCTCTTTCTAACAACAGTGGCTCGCAAATTGTAAGGCAACATTTGCAGGAGGATCAAGAGATGGAGTAATCACCTGTCAACCAGGGGACTCGGAAGAAAAGGTAATAAAAACCTGTTAGAATTTATCTTTTCCATGCTCTGACACCCTGCGTTGATCTTGACCCACCCAAGAAGCGTAGAGCACAAGAAAGGAAGATGCACATTGGGGTCATCCCATACATTCACAAGAAGCCAGTAGCGTAAGACACAATGATGTTCAAGCCAAGCATGACTGTGTGTTGATGAGATTTGTGGGGGGAGTCTTCTTTTTGGAAAAGCAGAGGTATAAAAGTGATCTTTTTGCTGGACATCATTTAACTATACTAATCATTTCCTAATAAATCTGTTCTTCATTTAGAATATAAAACAAAATTTCATTCGTTCTTCACTGAATCGCTCAGTTTCTTCAGGGAAGGAAGTCTTTGTTGACCTTTCAGCCATCACTCTAAAACAGATGGTTTTTTCTCATTTAGAGTTGCTTTAAGTAACACACCTCAGACCAGCTGGCTTGTAAATGTATGCTGTATTGTCAAAGAAATGGGTCGGAAGATTATGAATGGATTAAAATCATTCATTCTGCAGCTATGTACTAAGTGCCTCCTATGGGGTCCATATGGTGGATACAGTAATGAACAACAGACAAGCCTGTGCCCTTGTGGAGCCTCCGATCTTGTCAGGGAGACAGACATGAATCAAAAACTCATCTAGGTGCAAACGGCAATAACTGCTATTAAGGAAAGAACTGTAAGCTATGGAAAGGAATCTGATCAAATGGGGAGAGTAGTTCTGAGAAAACTTCTCTATGAAAGTGTCATCTAAGTGAAGATCTCAAATATGAGCTAGAGATAGTCAAGTAAAGGGGAATGTGTAGAGAGCCTGTGCAAAGGCCCTGAGGCAGGAAGGGACCTGGCTCTTTGCAAGAACTGAAGAGAGTCTGGCTACAAGTACAGAAAGCGACTTGGAGAAAAGTTTGAGAAGAGTCTGGAGAAGCTGGCAGAAGCCAGACTGTGCAGGGCTTGGGTGTTTATCTTAACAGCAATGGCAGGCAATTGAAATGTGGTTATGAGTAGATTCAGGCTCTCACACTGTACTGTGGAAACAGACTGAAGTGCTCGAGTGGATTAGGGAAGTCAAGTGAGGAGGCTACCTTCCAGTCAGGCAGAGAGGTGCTACCCTAGAATGACATCATCACTACTGGAGAAGCATTTTGGATTGTGCACCCTTCAGAGGATGAGAAATCATCTTCCTGTGTTACAAACAGTGCTATACTGAAGTGTAAAAACAAAAAAAAAAAATTGAGGAGTAAAAATTTTCCATAGAATATTAGTGGATCAATTTCAGTTTGGTAGTTATTCAACAAGTTTGCGGTCCTGTCATGGGGCGTTCTTAGGCGAGCCCCTTGCTAAGTGTTAGTGAAGAGGTGAGAGATGGAACAAGCAAACTACAAGACTGAGAAATATCTAGAAAGGGTTTTGAAGGGTGGGTTGCATTTCCACATCGCTGCCCTCCTCGAGGACACATTTATATTTCACATTGTGTCTTCCAGAAAACTTTCGTATCCTTGAAGTCATTGATCTTCCTGGGCATGGCAGGCGGGGCAGGTGGTACCAGCCCCATTCTATAGATGAGGAAACCAAGCTGGACTTGTCCAAGGCTTCACCGTTAATAAGCAATGGGCAAAAACATGGCCTGGCCACAAAGTCTGGAAATGGGCAAATGTACACAACAAATGGTTTATCTATATTACATTTTTAAAATACGGGTTTGATGACATCATGTGAGATGTCTACCCTGAGCAATGCAGGGTTGAATGTGCAGTTCAAAATACAACAAACTCGGGGCGCCTGGGTGGCGCAGTTGGTTAAGCGTCCGACTTCAGCCAGGTCACGATCTCGCGGTCCGTGAGTTCGAGCCCCGCATCAGGCTCTGGGCTGATGGCTCAGAGCCTGGAGCCTGTTTCCGATTCTGTGTCTCCCTCTCTCTCTGCCCCTCCCCCGTTCATGCTCTGTCTCTCTCTGTCCCAAAAATAAATAAACGTTGAAAAAAAAATTTAAAAAAAAAAAAACAAAATACAACAAACTCTAGCCTTTTCCATCAGTGCCTTTATATGCAGCTGTGATGCGCTGCCTTGAAGGACTGTAACTCGGATTTTCACCAAATAACCTGTGTCATGAGCATACCCCAGAAGCTATATGTTAAAATACATTATATGATATATATTGCCTATGTTACAGATTTTTTAGCCATCCAGTGGCACCCATGCCTTCTGATTCCAGGCCCAATCCTCCCTCCACTATACTCTGCTGTTAAAATAAATTCAGCCCTGGGGCACCCGGGTGGCTCAGTCAGTTAAGTGTCCGATTCTTGATTTCAGCTCAGGTTATGATCTCACGGTTCGTGAGACAAAGCCCTACATGGGGTTCTACACTCACAGCATGGAGCCTGCTTGGGATTCTCTCTCTCCCTCTCTCTCTGGCCCTCCCACACTCGTGCTTTCTCTTTCTCTCTCAAATAAACATTAATCCAGTCCAGAGATAAGTTACCAGGTTATGACTTATGGTTAGCAAAAACCTAGTCCCGTTCAAGATATAGTTTGTATAGAATGTAAACACAGTTATCTAAACATTTACCCTCAATCATGTAATTGTTACCTTCTCTATAATCAAATCTCAATCAGGAAAATGTATTAATACACTGCAGATTTTTTACAAACAAGGGTTAAAAAAAATATTTGTTCATTTGTTTACGGCTTCCTGGTTAAGTCTAAAAACATAGGACTTCTGGTTAAATTATCCTATTTCCCAAACATTCCAGTTTTCAAACGTGTGTTTCTGTTGAACTTGTAGTTTATTTCTGTTATTTTGTTCAGTTGCTCCTTCCCCACACCCCATTTTTTCTCACATCCCTCAAAGGGAGATTTCTGTTGTTTTTGCATAGTCTTCTTCCTTCTTGCCCATTTATTCTTTTTCATTTCCTCTTCATCCAACTCTTTCTGTGCGTCTGTATTGTAGTCCTTGTTTCCTCCCTTCCCTTTTCTTGTTTTTAGACTTCATTTCTTCATTCCTGTATTTGTTTGTGGCAACTCTGTTAGTATTATAATAAGGTTTGAGAATACAAGGATGGAAAGAAACTAATAGTTTTCACGCACTGTACATCTATAATCTAATCTGATCTATTCCAACAGTCTCTGAAGGGTTTTTTCAATTTTGCAGGTAAGAAAGTTGAAGTTGAGAGGCTACCTCTATAGGCCAGATTAGTTTAAAGGTAAAAACATACACACAGAAAAGTCTAAAGGACAATTTCCAGCATCTGTCTAAATGTCTGTGTGGTTTTAGGTACCTGTATGAAATACCAGAAGGGATGTGAGTGGGCTTGTAGGAAAAGGTCAACAGAAGGCCAAATTCTGAGTCTGATGTTTCCAGCATTTTTGCAAAACCAGCTTGGCTCTCTTCCCATTGCTGGTATTAGCTCAGTGCATTAGAATTGCCCTGCATAACGTGTGGACACGCTCATGACCAGAGAATTCAGACAATGAACAAACGTCCTGAAGACGATGCTTTTGGTCTTTTGTATGTGACAGTTCTGAGGACAAAGCTGGTCTGGAAGACCAATTGTATACCATCTACCAGAGAGAGTGCTCTCTGAGTCAGTCAAGGCCGGGTGATTTATTTAAATCCTCAGGATGCTTTGTTAAATTCTCTGTTTTGTTAGTAGACGCTGGATGTAGTTTGGCCACTGGAAATGCAGCTTCAACCGCATATTCTCTAGTCCCACCCACCTTACCTGAACCACTGCTGAAAGTGAGGTATGGCTAGGCACCGTGGGGAGTGGAAAATTGAGGACGACTGTGTTCCTATTGCAGATAACACTCATGCAGGGCTGAAAATGGGCTATAAGGGCAAATTGGGGAAAAGTCTTTACATGCTACTAAAGGTGGGCCTTGAGGACAGATGATGGGGTCACCCCCTTGAAATAATGATCTTATGTCCAGAGTTGCTAAGTACAGCTACCATTTAGCTTCCGTCCCCAAGCAAAACCCAACAAATGTTTGACCTCAGAACACAGCTTTACCTAACCTCAAGTGATTCTCTCCAACTCTCTTGTTCAGTCAGATTCCCTGTCTTCTGGAACAGTTTGATGTTGCCAGTTATTCCGAGCACCATTTGCACGGAGACAAGTGGACTGGGGATGGGAAGTGACCTTGTGATTCACAGAATCTGTGTCTGAATGTAAATAGTGGAACAAACATGCCAGTGATTATTACATGGATGTTTCTGTTTCAGTAAAGTCTGTACTTGATGGAAGGATTAGTACTTGCCTTACTAAACCTAAAGCTCTGAGTTGAGCTCTCAGAGATGTCAGTCTGCTAGAGATGGAGACAGTATACACACAGGCATATAAAGTCTTCCCACCCCCAAGCCCTACCCAAGTCTGGTCTGGTCTTTGCACAAGCTGATTTCTGCTCATTCCTAACAGGCGACAGAAGTGAGACATTGCTGTGGAATGGTTTATAGAAGAGGATACAGCTCCTTGCTGGATATTTAATATTTACTTTCCAGTTTCTCTTTTATTCCTAACATGAAGTTCCAGACTCAAAATAATGCAGAAAGTTTACACTGGTGGCCTGTGCACTGTCACCCAATTCGCAGACGTATTAAGCTTGTACGATATTTTCTGAATTGGCCTGACATTAAAAAATTAAAATTGTTCACACATACACATACACTTACAACAGAATGCCATCTCTAAAAAGGAAGAACCAGCAACACTAGGCCTGCCTTCTTTCGTGGCAGCGGTGAGCTTGGGCAGAAACCAGCTGCCTCTCTGGTCTGCCTTCCTCCACATTCCCACTGCACACTGACTTCCTAACACTGAAGGCAAGAGCCAGGTGCCAACCATCAGGATGCTTGCACTGCTGTTTTTCTTGTAAGAGAAATGTGTCTCTGTACATCAGGCCCCCAAGTAGGGAACTGAAAGCTAGATAAATAGGGCTGTGTGTTTCAGGAAAAATGCGGTACCCATTAGCCCCCATTTGAGAGTGTTGCTCTTTGCCTGTGTGAGAAGCATTTTTACGTACACAAGATTCAAGTGCCCGTCTGCTGAACCTGCTTGCTTGGGCATATACTAAAGGTACTGTACATGCTCTCAGTGTGTGTACGAAACAAAACAGTTTCTTAAAAAAAAAAAAAAAACAGCATTAGTAATGTTGGGGAAGTATTTTTGAGGGAAGGCTTATTTTAAAAGGCATGATTAATAAATGATTTAGGCTTCTGGGAGATTATAATAGCCATTCTCTGCGAATAACGCACAGTACTCACTGAGTAGAACATAGGATAAGGAGTATGATCTCCGTGTGTCTCATGAGAGCAGTTTCATCTGCAGACACTGCTTTACCAGTGTTTTCTCAGCCTGAGCAAAAGGAAGGACACATCTCTTCATGACCCAAAACAGCACTTCTGATTAAGAATTTTGGTTCCCACTGACTTCTCCATTTCCCGTGGAAGTCATCGGGCCTGGCTACCACTAGGTAGTTGAAATTAACAGAAGTGTGGGCCAAGGAGGAGACCCTCCGCTCCAGGGGCTCCAGGCAGCAGCGTGGGTCTTAGCCATACAATTAACGAATACGGCTCACGTCCCAGGTACTACAAAGCTGGAGAGGTTTCCATTTCACTTGTTATAGGTGATTTTAGTTGGCACACTCCCAATTCAACAGGCATTTCTCAGCACTACTTGAACATTTGACTCTTTGGACTCTAGGACAATGATTTACATTTAGCCCTACTACATTTCATCTTATATTCAAACCATCATTCCAATTACTAGGATCTTTATGGGCAGTATCTCTCTCATTTATATACTACTTGTCCCTGTATAATCTATGAATGAGAAGCCTGAAACCTCTGTTCTTGTACAAATTGAACAAGACAAGTGACAGTTTCTGCAGCTAATTTATTAAACATCATCCTTCAGATAGAGTCAGTCTTCTGTAAGGAATCCCTTTTCCTGTGTTGACTGAAAGGAAATGTCTGCTGAAGTTAAATTTTTCTTAAAAATAGTAAATACCAGGGGTGCCTGGGGGGCTCAGCCAGTTAGACGTCTGATTCTTGATTTAGGCTCAGATCAATATCTCACAGTTTGTGAGATCGGGCCCTGCTTTGGGCTCTGTGCTGACAGCGTGGAGCCTGCTTGAGATTCTCTTTCTCCCTCTCTCTATGCCCCTACCCCACTTATGTGTACTCTAAATAAATAAATAAATAAATAAAACTTTAAAAATACTTTTTTTTAATAGTAAATACCTCAGGCTGTGTAATCTGTATCATAGGCTTAAAGGTATTGGTCTTTCAAAGCTTTAAAAGGTATTTATGGCCAAGGTCCAAAAAGCTGCTCAACAAACATAATACATCAGTGTGCCAGACGCGAGTGATATGAGCAATAGACGAATACATATTGTTTATACCTACTTAGGAGATTAGATGCATCTGAGTTAAGAAAGCTGCCACATGAGGCTAGATGGTCTAAATTTTATCCCATTTAATTTAAACCAGTGGCTTTCAGAGATTAAATATGATGAAAATAATAGCTATTACATTACACTGTGGCTCATCTTTTGTCATGGTGAAAATTTGTCAGGTTTTTACCTGCTGGGCTACATTATAAGCATAGAACTCATTTCAGAGCAGAGTACAGAGAAACAAGAATGGCTATGCTACTGTTAATGAACAACAAACCAGATTATTCTGGGCTTTTAAGCTACACTGCCTGTGATCAGTTCTGAACATCCTGGTTTCTTGGCCCTTTTTTCCTCATTTTGAGAAAACCTACCTCTAACTCCAATTTATAAATCAAGTGATATTAGGAGTGCAGGAGTGGAGCTTGAAGAAAATCCTTCTGACCAAATAAAATGGTGACGTTCCCATAACAGTTTCAAGAGGAATCTTAAGTCACCCAAACATAAATACGTTCATAAAGACTTATGAGGGGATTATTTTTAAAACCTGAATACAGGAAAATATTAGCACAGGAGAGATAAAAGGTTTTAACATTTTCCATAAAATCACCCCCCAGAAAGGCATTTTTCACTATCTTTTTGAGAGCTCTAAATGCAAACGAGGCCCCAGCCTGTGGCCTAGGAAAGGATTCTGAGATAATAAATATCAAGGCAGCTTGCACCAGCCTACCTAAAAAGGAGACTTTAAGACAGACCCCGAGAACTGCTGTGTGTCAAGTTGGCCATCCCCCAAGAAATACAGTTTTGTGCCCTGAGAGCTGAGTGGGAGGAACTGATTGACAATGAAATTCCTCAGCACCAAGCTGAAGTCAAAAAGGCTCATTTGCCTTTATTGAACAGAGGACATTCTGCTTTAACTGATTTGATGACTTTCTTGGATTACAACCTTGTTTTGGAAAACAGTGAAAAGATAGCACATTTTTCAGTACTTAAGGTTTGGTTATAAAAACATCTAGGCACGAAGTTTTCTTGAAAACAGTAAATACCTCAGGCTGTGTAATCTATGTCACAGGCTTCAACATATTTATCTTTCAAAGCTTTAAAAGATATTCATGGCCAAGGTCCAAAAAACTACTCAATAAACACAGTAGTCATCAGTGTATGTAACTTACACAATATGAGTAACAGGTGAGGCAAGAAAAGACCCTCAGCAGAGGGTGGAGTTGGAGGTGGTTGGTAATGGTGAGGCTTTATGTTTGAAGATACTAATAATTTGATAGTTTTATCTTTTATGTATATGGTACCTTATATTGAATATAATACATTAAACTGGTAACAACCCAGAGATTTTTTTTTTTTTTAGAAAGAGCTTTAAAATAAGTGGTTTTTCCTACCAAGGATTAGAAACTGAGTTAGATATGTCTTTAAATATTCTGAAAATCCAGAACCAGATATGTTGATCCATAATTAGGAATGGACATTTTTTTTTAGCATTCTGTCAGATTCTGGTTATCTTTCCACACACTCACACTTTCCTTAAAGCCACGTCTATGGTTATGATATGATGACACCAAAAAATGGAAGCCATAATGGAACATGGCCCAGTTACAAATTTATATGCTAAACTACCCATCAGTTCTAGATTAATTTTAAAAATTGATAAAATTATAAGAAATGAAATACAAGAAAATTATTTGTCATATCTCACTCTTGTTTGAGATTATACAGACTAGATTTATTCCTTTGACATGACTACATCTAGCAGTCCTATATTCTTAATGAGGAAGGTGAGCTGAATCTAAAGAAAATGCCACTTAGATGGTTAATTATATTCTATGTTAACTGGATAGTCATAGTTGAGCAGATAAGAAACCAAACAGATTAAAGACTCTACCTTAACCGATAGTTAGCAATAGCATAATTTGTTTGGGCTACAGTTCTTTCAAGTTACTCAGTTGGTCTCCTCAGAGTTTTACTATGTTCGCATATTATTTACAGTTAAACACTAAAACCTTCAAGCAATAAAAGTTTGCACTTCTAGTGTCCAAGACTGACAAAACCTAAACCAACTAATCAGAGGATCTAAACGATTACGAATTATATTTTTCAGTGACATGTTTCCCATTCAAGCTTCTTTTTAACTGGACCGCTGTGCATGTTGAATGGGTACAAGATGTGCAACCGTTTATCAAGTTTGGGCAAGCAATGCTAATACTTATGCTGACGGTTCTGCTCTTGGAAGAGGGCCATGCTTTCCGTTGCATGCATTACACTGACCCTGTACTTTCTTTCCTTTCCTTTGTTTCCTGTGCCATGCTTGCTGTGTAGCAAATGGAATCTCTTGCAGTAAGTTAACTTTCTTTCATACTCTTTGTCCATTTTAGGCATGGACCCATAACAAATCTTTTTTTTTACTGTTACTGTTATATCTCTTAGCATGTTTTCCCCTTTGCATTTCATTTTATTTTATTTGGTAGACTAAGACGTGCAGTGAATTAGTAGCATTCTGGGCTGCTTTTGTCCCAAAGTAGAAACTTAAGTTGCTATGAATTCTCATACTATCAGTGGGATATTTTGAGTAATAACCAGCATTATCTTACACTTACAGAGGACAGAGTTTTCATAGCTAGGTTTCACCCTAAAGTGTGAAGGTGATGATTTAAACAATACTTTATTTATCTGCAAGACTCTGGCAGTTATCTTTTATATCAGATTTTAACAAACTTCCATAAAGAAAGGTTTAAGTGATCAAAAAGCAAAATGCTTTACTGAAACAACCAAAGATCTAATTTGGGTTAAATTTGTGAGTGTAGCTACTTCTTTAAACTTATGTTCACTATCAGCACCGAGAGATCAAATAAGCCTAAACCTAAATCTAGAATGGTTCTTTTCCCCCAGGGGCCAGGGAAAGGACAAGAGAAAGAAAACCTCATTCACTATAGCCTTAGCATGATTTTGGTAACTTTTAACAATTAGGATCAAAAGTCTGTTAACAACACTACAGGATATCTTCTTAAAGCCTAAATTTAAATTCTTATAACTTCTCTCCCTCAACTCATTTGGGGGAACAATTTTAAATGACCTCAGAAGCTCTCCATTCTGAGTTCTTTATGACTATTAGCAAAAGAAAGGGCCTATTTATCCTTACTTAACCACATTTGAAAACTGAACAGTGACATGTTTAGTTGAACCCACTTTCACTGGTGCCTGCCGAGCCATGAAATTCTATCTCATGAAGGCTGCACTTGTCCTTTCACAGAATCCACATCCACCACCTAGGAGCTAACTCATTCTTCAAATAAAACAGGCGAAGTGTAGAGGCCACTGCAAGCACATACGGCTCAAAGAGTAGTATGATCGTTGGTGTTGGAATTACTCAAGATGTACTTTTCCCTCATGGTATACATAAGCCATATAATGAAAACATTTTAAATTCCAGAGGTATCTATAGGGCTCAAGGGCCATTTTAGAGGACTAGTTTTTGATATTCTTTCCACGGAGAGTTTTGAATGTGTACTTAATTTCTCCTTTTTGGAAGCACTTGCAGCCCCTTTCTATCTCTGTAATTCAACAAACATTTATTGAGCACCGAGTAGAAGCACTGTCAATAAAACAGATACAGCACCTTAGAGGAACATATGACTGCCTGCTGTGTTTACACAGGCTTTAAGATGAGCGTCTGCACCCAAAAAGGCCGCCACAATTGTCTCATGGAGTAACCTCCCAAACTGCTGGATTTATAAATTTAACACCTAGAATGACTTAATATTTTGCTTTTCAATAAAAATTGAAAAATGTCTTCAATTGAAAAATTAAATTTCCCTTTAATAAAAAATTTTTCAAACAATTTTAGCTTATAAAAATTAAGACAACCACAATGAAGATGACCGTGGCCATAATTTGTAGATGCATAATTGGCAAATATACGGGAATGTGGCGATTCACGGAGTCCCTTTATAGCTACTACTCCTCTCTAATTGGTCAACTTCCAGGAACGATTCTATATCATATTGTGATTTTTCTCACTGATATTTATTGACTGGATTCTATTGTTCTGTGTCATCTGGAATAAGAACAGCTAGTTATGTTTCCTTGATTTAGAGAGAAAAACATGTTTTTCTACCCTGAGACTTCACTTGCTATACAAGAGTGATCTTTAATAATGACTTCTTCCCATGCAAACTCTCTCTCTAGCAATTGGAACTGTGTCAGAGATTATATAAGCTGCACTTCCAGCTGCTGCTGCTCTTTCAGTCCTACTGTAAGCTCATCGGCCAGGTGCACGAAGTCAGCTCCATGCCAGAGGTGAGCCACACACCTCCCGACCCCAAGTCCTACCATGCAAATCATTCCTTTCCTTTTCTTCTCTCCTCCCATCCCACTTATAACTGTCCGAGCGATTTGATTCCCACATAATTGATCTAGCAGCACCAGGACTGGGGTGAGGCTAGCGACGAGCCTCGGCTCAAAATTGAAGGACGACCCCGAGAGCGAGGGCCTCCCCGATGCTGTGCCGAAAGGCCTCACTTGGCCCACCCTCGTCCTGGCCCTGGTGTTCTGGACATCGATACTTAAAAACGTTCCCGGTATTGTTGTTTTTCTTCTTGAGATTTAGCTTTTTGTACCTGCCACCTCTGAGACAGGGATAAAGAGGACTGAGTCCACAGTGCATCCACACCTATGGGTCAGAGACAACTTCTCCCCCAGTAGACCACGCCCAGGCTTAACCACATCTCGCAGGCAGTTAAATGTGAGGAGCTGAGGTCGGAGGAGAGATGTGGTAGACTAAAGGTACAGATGTGCTGGGCACCAGTGAACAGCCAGGAGTTTATGAAACCATCCTAGCAAGAGTGGTGAGGGGAGGAGGGAGCCCAGGAACATCGGAGGAGGGGAGAAGAGGAGAAACACAAATGCCAGTGATGAAAGGAAAATGGGTAGTTTTTAAGGATACTTCCAAAGGCCAATTTCAAGGGCGGGGTAGGAAACAAACAGGTTTCCTCCACAGCGTTGCAGATTATTAGATAAAAGAGAACACAGTTGATACAAATTATAGGACATGCTGTCAAGATAAAGTTTGCTCTTATTACTATTCTAGCAAATACTAACAGGATCCTTAGAGTCCATCTATGCTCAAAAACTAATGCACATGCAAATGTGACTGATGCCATTTCCTATATTTACAAAGCAATTTAAGTTTCACTTTAGATTAAGAAATTAAGTATTCATACCATGTGTATATATGTTTTGCATAATTATTTAAATCTAGTAAATTTAAAGTGATTTCTCCTCAGTTATTTTAAATCTAGGTAAGTTTTAAATGCTACATACATACACACAGTATATAAGACATCCCTAGATTTAAAATAATTAAGATACTGACTTGCAAACTTAAAAATTATACACATAAAATTCTCTAATATCTTTTTTTAATTAAAGTATACTTGACATACAATATTATATTAGTTTTACACATACAACATCCTGATTCCACATTTATATACGTTAGGGAATGCCACCCCAGTAAGTGTAGTTACCAAAGTTATTATAATATTATTTACTCTATGCTGTACTTTTCATCCCTGTGACTTATTTTACAACTGGAATTTTGTACCTCTTAATCCCCTTCACATCTTTCACCCAGTCCCCAACCCTTCTCCCCTCTGGCAACCACAAGTTTGTTCTCTATATTTGAATCTGTTTCTGCTTTTTTGTTTTGTTTTTTAGATTCCACATGTAAGTGAAATCATATAGTTTTTATCTCTTCCCATCTGACTTACTTAGCATAATACCCTCTAGATGCATCCATGTTGTCAAAGGCAAGATCTCATTGTCTTTATGACTGTGTAATTATCCATTGTGTGTATATATGTGTGTATCTTTGTACCACGTCTTCTTTACATATTCATCTATCAATGGACACTTGGGGTGCTTCCATTATCTTGGCTATTGTAAATAACCCTGCCATAAACAAAGGGGTACATTTATCTCCTCTAATTAGTGTTTTTGTTTTCTTTGGGTAAGATACCCAGTAGTGGAATAAGTGGATCATACGGTAGTTTTATTTTTAATTTTTTGAGGAACTTCCATACTGTTTTTCCACAGTGGCTGCCCCAATTTACATCCCCACCAACAGTGCACAAGGGCTTCCTTTCCCCAGTCTCCCCAACGCTTGTTATTTCTCATCTTTCGGATATTAGCCATTCTGACTGGTGTGAAGGGGTACCTCATTTTGGTTTCAATTTGCATTTCCCTGATGATTAGTGATGTTGAACATCTTTTCCTTGGACTGTTGGCCATTTGTAGGTCTTTGGGAAGAGTGCCTATTCAAGTCCTCTGCCCATTTTTTCATCAGGTTGTATGAGTGGTAATGTATTTTGGAGATTAATCCTTTATCAGATACATCATTTGCAAATACTTTCTCCCATTTAATAGGTTGCTTTTTCACTTTATTGACGGATTCCTTTACTGCACAAAAAGTTTTTAGTTGCATGTAATCCTACTTGTTTCTATTTGCGCTTGTTGCTCTTGCCTGAAGAGATGTATCCAAAAAAATATTGATAAGACCAGTGCCCAAGAGTATACTGCCCATCTTTACATTTTATTTTTGGACATGGTATTAAAAAGTGGTCTCGTTTTTCCAACACCATTTCATGAAAAGATTTTTTTCTCCTCCATCATATATTTGTGCCTTGTCCATTAATTGTGTAACTATGGATTTATATCTAGGCCCTCTTCTATTTTCCAAGCATCTGTGTGTCTTTTTGTTCCACTACCATACTGTCTTTGATTACTATAGCTTTGTAATATAGTTTGAAGTCTGGGATTGGGATACCTCCAGCTTTGCTGTTCTGTCTCACAATTGCTTTGGCTTTGGGGGTTCTGTGATTCCATATAAATTTTGGGATTTGTTCTAGTTCTATGAAAAATGCCATTGGTATTTTCACAGGAATTGCACGAAAGCTGTAGAATGCTTTGGGTAGTATTGACCTTTTTAAAATAATCTTCCAATAGTGAGCATGCTATATCTTTCCATTTGTGTCATCTTCAGCTTCTTCCATCAACGTCTTATGGTTATCAGAGTGCAGATCTTTTACCTCCTTGAATTTATTCCTATGCATTCTATTCTTCTTCATGGAATTGTAAATAGGACTGTTTTTCTTAATTTCTCTGATAGTTGGCTATTAGTGTACAGAAATGTAACAGATTTCTGTATATTGATTTTGTATCCTGCAACTTTACTGAATTCATTGATTCTAATCATTTTTTGGTGGAGTTTAGAGTTTTCTATATATAGTATCCCGACATCTGCAAATAGTGACAGTTTAATGTACTCCTTACCAATCTGGATGCCTTTTCTTTCTTTTTCATGTCTGATTGCTGTAGCTAGTACTTCCAGTACTATATTGAATAAAAATGGCAAGAGTGGGCATCCTTGGCTTGTTCCTGATCTTAGAGGAAAAGCTTTCAGCTTTTCCCTGTTGAGTATGATGTTAGCTACAGGTATGTTATATATGACCTCTAGTACATTGATGTATGTTCCCTCTATACCCACTTTAAGAGGTTGTTTTATGAATGGATGCTGAATTTTGTCAAATGCTTTTTTTGAATCTATTGAGATCATATAATTTTTATCTTTCATTTTGTTAATGTAGCTTGTCACATTGGTTGATTTGTAGCTATTGAACCATCCCTATATCCCTGAGATAAATCCCCTTGATCATGGCAAATGCTCCTTTTAATATATTGATGAACTCTGTTTGCAAATTTTTTGTTGACAATTTTTACATATATAGCATTAGAGCATTCCTTTCTCTTCAACTTTTGGGATACTTTGAGAAGGATAGGTATTAAGTATTTTTTTACATGTTTGGTAGAAGTCACCCATGAAGCCATCTGGTCCTGGACTTTTGTTTGCTGAGAGTTTGGGGATTATTCAATTCCATTACTAGCAATTTGTTCAGATTTTCTATTCCTGATTCAGTCTTGGAAGATTATTCCTAGGAATTACTCAACATATTTTTTTAATGTTTATTTTGAGAGAGAGAGAGAGAGAGAGAGAGAATGCACACAAGCCAGGGAGGGGCAGAGAGAGAAGGGGAGAGAAATCCCAAGGAGGCTTCTTGCTGCTACCACATAGCCAGATGTGGGGCTTGAACTCATGAACTGCAAGATCACGACCTGAGCCGAAACCAAGCGTTGGACGTTTAAACCAACTGAGCCATCCAGGCACCCCAGTCTTTATCTTTTCTAGTAAGCCACTCTTAGTTTCATTTTTCCATTTTTTTAGATTCCATTTCATTTATTTCTACTCTGATCTTTTGTCATTTCCTTTCTTCTACTAACAGTGCTTTGTTTGTTCTTCTTTCTCTAGTTCCTTTAGATGTCAGGTTAGATTAAGATTTTTCTTATTTCTTGAGGTAGGCTTGTAGCATTGTAAATTTTCCTCTTGGAAATACTATTGCAAGGGGGCCTGGGTGACTCGGTTAAGTGTCTGACTTTGACTCAGGTCATGATCTCAGTCTGTGAGTTCGAGCCCCATGTCGGGCTCTGTGCTGACAGCTCAGAGCCTAGAGCCTGCTTTGGATTCTGTGTCTCCCTCTCTCTCTTCCCCTCCCCTGGCTTGCACTCTGTTTCTCTTTCTCTCTCAAAGATAAAACATAAAAAATATATATATACTGTTGCTAAGTCCTATCAATTTTGAACCATTGTGTTTCCATATTCGTCTTGGGATATTTTTCTCTCTTTGATTTAATTGATCCATTGTTTAATAGCATGTTGTTTAGGCTCCATGTGTTTTTTTTCCATTACTTTTTAAATTGATTTCTACTTTCATACCATTGTGATTACAAAAGATGCTTGATATGGTATCTATCTACTTAAATTTATTGAGATCTGTTTTTGGCCTAACATGTGATCTGTCCTGGAGAATGTTCCATGTGCACTTGAAAGGAACGTGTATTCTATTCCTGGGCAGAATGTTCAGTATATATCTGTTAAATCCTAAATCCATCTAGTCTTATGGCACTCAAATCTGCTGTGATTTTCTGTCTGAATAATCTATCCCTTGATGTAAAGGAGTATTTAATTCCCCTACTAATGTATTAATGTCAGTTTCTCCCTTTATGTCTGTTAATACTTGCTTTATCTATATAGGTGCTCTTAGGCTTGGGTACATAGGTATTTACAATTGCTGTATCTTCTTGTTGGATTATCCTTATGTAATGTCCTTGTCTCTTGTTAGTCTTTACTTCAAAGTCTATTTTGTCTGATATAAATACTGCCACCCCAGCTTTTTTTTCCAATTGCATTTGCATGGAATATTTTTCCCATTCCTTCACTTTCAGTCTGTATGTCTCTAGGTCTGAAGTCGGTCTCTTGTACGCAGCATATAAGTGGATCTTGTTTTCTTTTTATATATTCATTCATTCTAGGGGTTTGATTGGAGCATTTAGAACATTTACATGGAAAGCAATGATTGATAGGTATGTACTCATAGGTAGTATCTTGTTTTCTGGTTATTTTTATAGCTCTTCTCTTTCCTTGCCTTTTGATGGCTTTCTTTTCTTCAGTGTTATGCTTTTCTGGTTGTGGTTACCATGAGGTTCATATATAACATCCTATGTGTCTAGCAATATGTTTTAAGTTGAAGTTCAAACATGTTCTAAAAGCTACATCTTTAATTCCCTACCCCATTTTACGTATGTAGATTTTATATCTATTTTGTGTATCACCTAATTTTTGTAGATATAATGGATTTTACTAGTTTTTTCTTTTAGCCATTATACTAAGTAAATGACCTACCATCTTTAGTATAGGTTTACCAGTGAAATTTTTTCCTTTCATTATTTCTGGACTCTTCTTTGCTTAAAGAAGTCCCTTACATTTCTTATAAGACTGGTTTAGTGGGGATAGATTCCTTTAATGTTCATCTGGGAAACTCCATGTCTCCTTCAATTCTGAATGATAAGCTCCCAGGTAGGGTATTCTTGGTTATAGACTTTTTTCCTTTTAGCACTTTGCAGGCCAAAAGGCAGTGGCATGATCTATTCAAAATTCCTGCCAAGAAATCAGCTTATAGCCTGATGAGGCTTCCCCCCTGTGTAACTAGTTGCTTTCCTATTGCTGCTTTCAGGATTCTTTAATTTTTTGACATTTTAAATATTATGTGACCTCCCTGGGTTCATTGTGTTCGAGGCGCTCTGTACTTCTGGGCCTGGATCTGGAGTATTTCCTTCTCAGGGTTAGAGAAGTTGCCTGTTACTACTTATCTGCCCCTGTCTTCTCCTCCTGACCCCTATATAGGTGCTATATAATGCAAATGTTAGTAAAACTGATGTTGTCCAAAGGTCCCTTAACTTAGCCTCATTTTTTTTACATTTGGTTTTCTTTTTGCGGTTCAGCTTGTATGCTATTACTCTTCCAGATTGTGACCCATTCTTCTGCATCCTCTAATTGCTTGTAATTCCCTCTATTGTATTTTTCATTTCAGTTATTACTCTAGTGAGTATCTTTATGGCCATTCCTTTGAACTTGTATCAGGTAGATTACTCATCTGTTTTGTTTGGGACTTCTCAGGTTTTATATTGTCCTTTCATTGGGAACGTATTTCCCTCTTTCCGCATTTTGTCTAACTCTGTTTCCTTGTATTAGATCTTGAAATTAGTGGCCTTATATAAAAGGTGTCCTCCGGAGCCCTGTAGTACATGCCCCTGGTCAGGAGAACCAGGCACGCCAGGGGCGTCTCCTCTGTGGGCTGGACGTGCCTGCCTTTGTTACTGGGCCAGGATTCCTGCAGGCATGTTGGGGAGCAGGGCTGACCCCACCTAGGCTGGCTGAGTTGCCTGGCTACAGGTGCCACAGGTCTGCTGGTAGTGGGGGTTAGCCCCTGGTACCTTCTGGCTGAGAGGCCTGCCTGCCATGGCAGAGCTAGCGGTGGTAGAGATTGGCAGAACTGGCTACCCCCAGCATCAGGCCGGCTAGACTTGAGAGGAAGAAACCAACACTTTTATTCCCAGAAGAAGTCCCTATAAATCCCTGCCCGTCTGACACATGCCCTAAAATTAGTCAATAAATCTGCTTCATATATAGCCCAGATGTTTTTAATACTACTGCCTCTGAAATGCCTCAGAATGATTGATATAGTGTGCTGGCCCTTTAAAAGCAGAACCTCAGTTTACTATAGTCCTCCCCCTCTTCTGGAGCCCCAGGGGTTTTCAAAGCTGGATGGTATGGGGGCTCATCTTCCCCATTTTGACTCCCAGGACATACCCTTCCTCCTTGTGGATCGCCACACCTGGAGTTTGGTTCTTTACCATGTCTCTGCCCCTCCCACCCTATCGATGTAGCCTTTCTTTATATCTTTAGCTGTGAAAATGCTGTTGTGCTGGTCTTAAGGTTGTTTTCAGAGGGTGTTGCATTATATGAAGTTGTAGCCTCAGGCTGTCCCTGGAGGAAGGGAGCTCAGGGTCCCCCTACTCTGCCGTCTTCCCAAGCTCTTTCTCTGATATCTTACTTAGAAGAATTACCTCGGTAAATTTTAAGCCTAGTACTGGAGTAGGTAGTTGCATTTAATAGGCATCTGTGCGAAGACAAATAATTCTGGCCCCGTGGGCTAGCTGGAAATGAAGAAAGATGAAAATGTTGGATACATCAACTTTCCAAAGAAGACATCATCAACTTACATTACAAAGGACAAAATAAACCTTTAAGTGCACATCAAGTCCTTAAAATGCCCTTGAGATCAAATTACAAAACAGCTGACTTCCATAGTATATTTTGGGGGCACGAAGAAGTGACGTAGGTTCTCTTTTTATGATCGCTGCTACCAACGGAGAAGTTTTGAGGTAAAATATCTCTTACCTCTGTAACATGAATACTAACATCACCTTGAGATTTTTCTTCCTTAAATTGTATCTTTCATCTTTTCCCATAGCATACAAATAGTGAGAAAAAATTCTTTTTCAAGCAAGATCTATGTTTATGATTACATTTATTTGGCACATAAATGCTTAATACTAAGCATTTTATATACATCGTCTCCTCTTTAAAGTTACCTGTGAGGCAGGTAATGTCTTCGGTCTTACAAATGAGAAAACTGAAGCACATATAAGTCTATGTACTTGACTACAGTCCCACAGTGCAGTGCAGAATTGGCATTTGAACCCAGCTCCACCCAAGCCTAGTGTCTTACGCATTTTAACTCCGGGTTTGTCCTTCTACTTAAATAGAAAACATGTTAAAGGAAATGTTAGCCCCTCATCTAAGGAGAGTATCCCAGTGGTTGATACATAAAGTTATCCAATGCATCCAACCCCTTACACATCCCATGTAGTAATTTTATTTGTCCTGTTTTAGCTTACCAAGATATTAAGCTTGTGCTTAACCAGACCTTAATACAATGAAGATTTCTTCTCTAAGGGATGCAAAATCCAGCTTGCAACTAAATACAATAAAAATAACTTTTTTTTAACAGCTGCTAAATATGTCCAGGGAACTGAGTGACTTAAAGAAAAACCTGAAGGAGGCCACTGCGGCCATTGCAGCTGACCCTCTCTATATAGAGGGTGCATGGTCTGAGCCAACCTTCACATCCACCGAAGCGGCCATCCAGTCCATGCTGGAGTGCCTGAAGAACAATGAACTTGGCAAGGCTTTACGGCAAATCAGGGAATGCAGGTAACTCTACTATTGCTTTTAGAAATGGTTAAAGGAAATCCTTGCCTAATAGTTACTTTGTCATGGTGGGGGACTGAATCACTACAGAAGGGACATCCAGATATTTTATACACATCCTTCTCAGCTCTTTACCACGCCAGAAATATCAGATTTTAGAATTTGTGTGTCTAAAGTCTAGGCGTTATTTTTCGCCTTTTGGTCATCCCTAAAAATGTTGAAACACTTCAGCTTATGTTGGAGTATACTTTGAGAACTATTATCTGAATGTATCCTTGTCCCCTTACATTTTGATACTATCTTCACATTCGTCAGAATCAGAATGTTATAGCAAATCAAATTCCGTTCTGATAGTTAGAAGCTTTAGATATTTTCATCAAAACCAGTAACATTCTACAGTTGGTTATGGTGATGTTTGCAAAACTCTGAATATACTAAAAGCCCTTGAGTTGTATGCTTTAGATGGTTGAATTGTATAGTATGTGAGTTATATCTCAAAGCTAGTGTTTTTAAGTAATATTCTTATATTACCGAGGCTAATAACCTCCCAACTTTGTCATCAATAGTGCCCCTAATCTGTGCTGTTTTTTAATTGCAGAAGTCTGTGGCCCAATGACATCTTTGGAAGCAGTTCTGATGATGAGGTCCAGACACTACTGAATATTTATTTCCGTCATCAAACTCTGGGACAAACGGGTACTTACGCGTTGGTAGGGTCGAATCAGAGCCTGACCGAAATCTGCACCAAGCTGATGGAGCTGAACATGGAGATCCGGGACATGATTCGCAGGGCCCAGAGTTACCGAGTCCTCACTGCTTTTCTTCCAGACTCCAGTGTTTCTGGCACTAGTCTCTGACAGGAGCCTCCCATCCCCCATGCGTTCCAAGCTGGGGGTGCTGTCATGCTGGGGTGACGTCATTCAGTGTCTTTTCAGCCTTCAGAAGGCTTGGTCAGACTGTTCTCCCTCTTGTTACCTGTAGGACTTTTTCTAAACAGGATGACAGAACTTCCAACGTGTAGCAATACTATAAGAACCAAGGTAGCATAGAACATTCTGGGACAGACTCCATCCATCATGCTGTGTGGCACAAAGGTGTTATCATTTCACTGAGCAGATGCAACTCACTACTGAAGAAAGTGACTTCCATTGCATACCAAAGCCGACTACACTGAATAATACCTTCCTTTCTAGAAACAGTTTTAGATTGGCAAAAGTGCAATGTTTTCTTCACTAAAAAATGTTTTATATTCTAAAACTTGTACATTCTTTTTTCTTTTTTTCCTTTTTTTCTTTTTTTGGTGGGCTGAGGAAGGGACAGGCAGAATGAAGCTGGCCACTGAAAACTGTAAGACGGTCAAAAGCTGACAGCCTGTGTATGTGAAGAGGGAATTGTAAATGGACAATTTAATATACACTGTAATTTGAATACAATTACTGTATCTAAAAGGAGCTGCTATGAAGTACCTTTCTTATGTTGCTAGGCTACTGTTTCTGAAAGCCCTGGATCTCTTTGCAGGAGTCTGTGATTAGGACCCTAGCACCAAATATGGTCCAGACAGACCTTTTTGTAAAGGTCTTGGCTGCTTTTTACTAGAAGGTTGCTTATATGAGCATATTTATACTACAAAAGGATGAGTGTTAATTTTAACCAACTTTGCCATTTTGTAGAAAAAAGTTAAATTCACATTACAAATTCCAAGTCTTTTCACCGGTCACGCATGCATATTTTAATATCCATTTGGATAGCCAGAAGTAGAATCATAAAGATAAACTATGAGTTGTCACTTTGTTACTTAAGAGATGTCATGTTTTATTTGTAACATATATGTAAAGGGCCATTCTTCACTTTTCTCTTTAAACTTAATGCTGTCAAGTGTTAGATGTGTGCATGTAAACCAGTTGCACATCAGAAACATATTCAAAGTTTATCTATGTAACTTATTCACTCTGTAAATACATTTAAAGTTTTTGTGATGTAATCTTGGTTGATCTTCTATTCAGAACTTCCTTTAGACTTAAAAAAAAAAAAAAAAGACAAAATACATATTGACCATGGATTTTATTTCTGGTTAGAAGATCTTTGCCTTTGACATACATTTACAGATGTGCATGGGGGTTGCCACAGTGACAACCGCAAGGGGCACCATTCATCTAGGGTCCATGGCTGGCACTCACAGTTCCTGCTCCAGAGAGGGCCTGTCTGTAACCTCGTTGTAAGTGGAAATGGCTAAGATGGTGACTTTCAACCAGCTCTCTCTATAATGAGCCAAACAGAAATCACAAGAGTGAGGGCTCTAATCGTCGACACCTATCATGAGGTTGTCATCCTTAAAATTGGGAAATAGAATCAAAACTCCTACTTTGGATTATAGAGTCTGTCGCAACCCTCACCTAGCTCTACCTGACATGAAAAAACAGGGGCACAGACACACACAACAATCTAACTGCTACTGTCTTCCTACTCATATTTACCTAGACTAACAGATGTAACTTGCTTTTCTAACATACGATAGCCAAATCTTCAATAGTAATTTTCTAGAAGTAGCCTGTAACAGGGAGTGTGAGCCAAGATGTTTTTTATGTTACCATAGGTACAACTATTAACTAATTGTAGTAACTTTTTTGAGGAGAGGAGGGTTCAAGACGGCAGCATAGAAAGATCCTGAGCTCCCATCCTCCAATGGACACCAAAAATCTACAATTATATTCAGAGTAATTCCCACAGAAAAAGACCTAGAAACTGGATGAATAGAGCCTTCACAAAAAGGAAAAGCACAGAGACAGGTAAAAGAGGCAAGAGGTCTCACCAAAGAAAACACATACTCCTGGCACAGTGTTCCATAGTCAGGAAAGTTCTCAAAGTTATAAGCTTTTTTCTGAAAAGCAAAGTATTTGAGATCTATATCAGGAACCCTGGCCCTTACATCCTGCATGAGACAGGAGTCCCCAAAACACCTGACTATGAAAACCAAAATGGAATAGGTCCAAGAAAATTATAGAACTGTAAGGAAAGGGAATTCTACTCTCCTTTTTATGTTTTTTTTTATTTTATTTAAATCAAAGGTAGTTAATATAGAGTGTAATAATGGTTTCAGGAGTAGGATTTAGTGGTTCATCACTTACATATAACACCCAGTGCTCATCCTTAAAAGCCCTCATGTACAGGTACTTACTCAACCCAGAAACCAGTACATAAATACCAAATCAAAAAGTGCACACATCACAGGTGAAGGAGACCGACTTACTAATTTTGGAGTACCTGCCAGGGAGTCAGGAAGCACCTGGGGCTCTACATGGAGACTGAGAGACATGGACAGAAGCCATTTTTGTTCTTTCTGCCATGCTGAGCCCAGCACTGGCAAGTGCCACTCTAGACTGCTAATGCCAGGAAACATGCCCCCATTGAGAGTCCTGTACAACCTTGCATCTCAGCAGGTCCTCACAGCCAGCCAGGCCAGGCACCAACCCAACCCCATTTGCACACCTCCATCAGTTGCTCCAGATGCAGAGCCAGCTAGGACAGGGACCAGCCCTCCCAGCAATACAGCCACAACAGTCTGGCACCACTGAGCAGGGGGTGCATGCAGCTCCGAGGGAACAGGCCTGGAGCATCTGAGTCTGGTGTACAAGTGATTGTGCTTCTGCACCCCATAGGCTCTCCCACATAAGGCCACTCCTTCCAGACCAGCAGACATAGTTGAACTACCTAATATGGACACAGACACAGAGATAGGCAAAATGAGACAGAGCAATGCATTCCAAATGAAAGTAAAAGACAAAACAGACAATGAAAGGAAACAGACATGCAGGCACAAGCAGCATAGAGTGTCCCAAACAAGATAAATCCAAAGAGATCCATATCAAGGCACATTATAATAAAAATATCAAAACCTAAACAAAGAAAGAAAATTTTAAAAGCAAGAAAGAAATTATTCTATATAAGGAAACCACCATAAGACTATCAGCTTATTTTTCAGCAGAAACTTTGCAGGTCAGAAGTGACAGGCAAGATATATTCAACGTACTAAAAGGAAAAAAAAAAAAGTACACCTTAAGGAACTAGAAGCAGAACAGCAAACACACCTGAAACCCAGCAGAATAGAATAAAAATCACAGCAGAAATAAACAATATAGAATCCAAAAAAACAGTAGAACAGATCAATGAAACTAAAAGTCGGTTTTTTGAAAAAATAAAATTGATAAACCTCTAGCCAGGCTTTTCAAAAAGAAAAGAGAGAGGACCCAAATAGATAAGATCATGTATAAAAATGGAATTATTACAACCAATCCCTCAGAAATACAAGCAATTATCAGGGAATACTATGAAAAATTATATGCCAACAAACTGGACAACCTGGAAGAAATGGACAAATTCCTAGACAAATACACACTACCAAAAGTGAAACAGGAAGAAACAGAAAATTTGAACAGATCCACAACCAGTGAAGAAATTGAATCAGTTATCAAAATCTCCCAACAAATAAGAGTCCTAGACCAGATGGTTTCCCTGGGGAATTCTACCAGACATGTAAAGCAGAGAAAATACCTATCCTTCTCAAGCTGTTCCAAAAAATAGAAAGGGAAGGAAAACTTCCAGACTCATTCTATGAAGCCAGCGTTACTTTGATTCCCAAACCAGACAGAGACCCAGCGGGGGCGGGGGGGAGACAACTACAGGCCAGTATCTCTGATGAATATGGATGCAAAACTTCTCAACAAGATACTAGCAAATCGAATTCAATAGCATATAAAAAGAATTATTCACCATGATCAAGTGGAATTAATTCCTGGGCTGCAGAGCTGGTTCAATATTTGCAAAGCAATCAATGTGATACATCACATTAATAAATGAGAAGAACCATATGATCCTGTCAAGAGATGCAGAAAAGGCATTTGATAAAATATAGCATCTTTCTTAATAAAAACCCTCAAGAAAGTCAGGATAGAAGGAACATGCTTAAACGTCATAAATGCCATTTACAAAAAGCCCACAGCTAATATCACCCTCAATGGCAAAAAACTGAGAGCTTTCCCCTGAGATCAGGAACACGATAGGGACGTCTACTCTCACCACTGTTGTTTAACATAGTGTTGGAAGTCCTAGCCTCAGCAATCAGACCACAAAAATGAAATCAAAGGCATCAAAATTGGCAAAGATGAAGTAAAACTTTCACTTTTCACAGACGACAGGATACTCTACATGGAAAACCCGACAGACTCCACCAGAAGTCTGCTAAAACTGATACACGAATTCAGCAAAGTTGCAGCGTACAAAAATCAATGTACAGAAATTGGTCGCATTTTTATACACCAATAATGAAGCAACAGAAAGAGAAAGAAATTGATCCCATTCACAATTGCATCAGGAACCATAAAACACCTAGGAATAAACCTAACCAAAGATGTAAAAGATCTGTATGCTGAAAACTATAGAAAGCTTATGAAGGAAATTGAAGAAGATACAAAGAAATGGAAAAACATTCCATGCTCATGGATAGGAAGAATAAATATTGTCAAAATGCAATCTATATACCCAAAGCAATCTATATATTCAATGCAATCCCAATCAAAATTGCATCAGCATTCTTCTAAAAGCTAGAACAAACAATTCTAAAAAGTATCAGAGACATCACTACAAGCATGAAACCTACAGACATCACAATGACTCTAACCCCGTATCTTTCTATAATAACACTGAATGTAAATGGACTAAATGCGCCAACCAAAAGACAGGGTATCAGAATGGATAGAAAAACAAGACCCACCTATTTGCTGTCTATAAGAGACTCATTTTAGACCCGAGGACACTTTCAGATTGAAGGTGAGGGGATGGAGAACTATTTATCATGCCACTGGAAGTCAAAAGAAAGCTGGAGTAGCCATACTTACATCAGACAAACTAGACTTTAAATTAAAGGCTATAACAAGAGATGAAGAAGGGCATTATATATTACAGGGCCTATCCATCAAGAAGAACTAATAATTATAAATGTCTATGCGCCGAATACAGGAGCCCCCAAATATATAAAACAATTACTCACAAACATAAGCAACCTTATTAAGAATGTGGTAACTGTAGGGGACTTTAATACCCCACTTACAACAATGGATAGATCATCTAGACACATGGTCAATAAAGAAACAAGGGCCCTGAATGATACATTGGATCAGATGGACTTGACAGATATATTTAGAACTCTGCATCCCAAAGCAACAGAATATACTTTCTTCTCGAGTGCATATGGAACATTCTCCAAGATAGATCACATACTGGGTCACAAAACAACCCTTCATAAGCATACAAGAATTGAGATCATACCATGCATACTTTCAGACCACAATGCTATGAAGCTTCAAATCAACCACAGGAAAAAGTCTGGAAAACCTCCAAAAGCATGGAGGTTAAAGAACACCCTACTAAAGAAGGAATGGGTCAACCAGGCAATTAGAGAAGAAATTAAAAAATATATGGAAACAAACGAAAATGAAAATACAACAATCCAAACGCTTTGGGATGCAGTGAAGGCAGTCCTGAGAGGAAAATACATTGCAATCCAGGCCTATCTCAAGAAACAAGAAAAATCCCAAATACAAAATCTAACAGCACACCTAAAGGAAATAGAAGCAGAGCAGCAAAGACACCCCAACCCAGCAGAAGAGGAGAAATAATAAAGATCAGAGCAGAAATAAACAATATAGAATCTAAAAAAAACTGTAGAGCAGATCAATGAAACCAAGAGTTGGTTTTTTGAAAAAATAAACAAAATCATGAATGAAAATGGAATTATTACAACCAATCCCTCAGAAATACAAGCAATTATCAGGTAATACTATGAAAAATTATACGCCAACAAACTGGACAACCAGGGAGAAATGGACAAATTCCTAAACACCCACACACTTCCAAAACTCAAACAGGAAGAAATAGAAAGCTTGAACAGACCCATAACCAGCAAAGAAGTTGCATCAGTTATCAAAA